TCAAAATACTGAAAAACTTAGAAAGATATTAATTTAGACCACTTCTTTATAAGGTGATGCCTAACACATACCAGGGTCAAAAGCTTCAAACTCACCAAGCCACAATGTAGGACAGAAAACAGGAGATGCTTTAATTCCCCCTTAGGCTGCTATACTTATGGAATAACCTACCAGCCGAAACCGTAAATGTCAAAACATTATTTCAGTTTAAAAATCCCCAAGAACAATAGGGAAATTAAGACCTTCGACAAGTCACCGGCTTTCTGTCCCCGTCAAGGCAAGTAATGACAGTAGCCCTCGGGTAAATTCAGAATAAAGTAGTGGCTTCTTTACTTTAATCAAGGCGGGGATATTTGAGACGCGGGTAAGGAGGCCGCTAAGGTCAGTACGAAATGAAGGGAGGGCACTACGGGCTCACCATAGCCCGTGCTACTGTGAACTTTGTTCCAGGTAGCGAATCTTTAACAACAACAACAAGGGAGGGCAAATTCTTGAGTCCAAAAATAGAAGAAAAAAAATATGTGGGAGTAGTCATAACCACAAAGTCTATCACCGAAGTCTGATATTAATAATAAAAACAGTTTCTTATTCCCTAGTGCATACGTTGGGTTATGATCCCACCGTTCCCAATACAAGGGCCTAAGAATACCTGTGGTTCCCTGGTCTTAGAATCCTGTTCTTATAGTTAAATAAACACAAATGTAAACAATGTCTAAAGCTTTTACGTTAAAAAGAGTAAGAGATTTATCAACGTTAAACTCAACACTTGATTACTTCTGAACTCATTGACTGAAAATGTATTGTATGAACCTTATCAGTAACATCAGTAATGGTCAATAAATCTGAAGTAATCAGTAAAATAAGGATATTTAATCAAGGCAATGATTCTTTCCATAACAGGCAATCCTGACCTTCATTACACCACATTAATAATACTGTTATCAAATTCTGTTATTTAATGGTTAAGAATTTACAACATATACCTTGGCGAATTAACCTAATTATTAACTAAGGCGAATCAACATTTACCAAGACGGTAAATGAATAAATGGTTCACATCGAAGAAAACCAAAATGCAGAATAGAATCACTTACTCCTTATACAGTAGCACAATTACTCTCCAAGCTCTACGTTCTCCACAAGAGGAGGAATTCGAGAGAGAGCCTTCCTCTCTGGTCTCTCGACGTCTACTGGCTATGGTGGTCTGTTACATGTAGCTTTATACAGCCCTCATGCCACACATTCAGTCATCTTAACACTCCCTAATGTAAACAACAGTGGCTTGATAACAGCTCACGCAAACCAGTTTGTCCGCAGTCTAGGCTTGTTCAAGCGGCGGACGCCTCGCAAAGACGAATTCGCCAATTTTAGTTAGGCAATTACATGTCGGCAACTATATGTATTTCTAGAAAGTGGGTGAAATATAAATAAAGGTGTGATTCGAACGTAAAAAGAGAGCAAAGCAATGTTCGAAAAAAGTTCGAACGTCATCAGTTGTGAGTTGTACGTGAAAAATGTTCCATTCTTAAAAAGAGGGTTTAGCGGGTTGGATGAACGAGCATTTGGCCATTGTTTATGAGGACGCGCCGCCTCCACACACTCACTCTCTCATACACAGCTCTAAAGAGGATTACATCTGAATTGCAATTGCCAATTAACAATATACTAAAAAAAATGGTACATGTAAAATTCAATACTTAAAACTAGGGCATATTTCCTTACACCAGATGGCTCTGTTCACTTAGCAGTAAACAGATAGCTGGGCGGTAAGAAACTGTTGTATACTGCATCACAGAGAATGTCAGACGTTAGTCTACGGACACTTGGATAAGCCTTGCTCTGATATCATCAAAGTTATGAGCTTCATTATAAAGTTTTAAGACTTATATCATTTTTTTCTGATATTTTGAAAACGGGAAACGTGGTGCTAGACTATAATATTATTGCATCACTCAGCACCACAGTGGTCTACGTCCTCAGCTTACAATCGAATTAATAATAATAATAATAATATTATTATTATTATTATTATTATTATTATTATTATTATTATTATTATTATTATTATTATTATACTTTAAATGCCAGACAAATGTGCTCTCTAGAGAGTACTTCGCTGTGCTTCAGTAGTAATTAATCCTCATGTAAACATTAAAATGTAAAAGAAAGATTTAAAAGAATTATTTTTTTTAAAGCAAACAGAAGTTGAGTTCAAGTGTAACATTTGTAATGTCTGCAATCTGCATGGTTAATTTTCAATACATTTATCTGCATATAAATGCCAATGTATGTACTTACATTACTATACCATTATTATGATGGTTCGGAGGATCAATCTCCCCGCGGCCCGATCTCCAAATAAGGTTTCTTCGTTGGTGAAATGATCAACCAGGCTGTTAGACACCGCTGCTCGCAGTCTGATGTATAAATTACAGATCGATAAAAGTGCCTCTGTCCTTTTTTTTTAAATTGTTCTTCCTTACCTTCGTACTTCCCTATTTCCCTACTTTTATCTCCACTATTCTTTCTACCCTTCATCTCTCCTATTTTTATCCCCCTACACTCCCTTCCCCCATTTACTTATCTCTAGCCTTTTTACTCTATTTTTTATTTCCCACTCTCCTTCGTTTCTTTATTTGTTTAGCCTCTTCACCTCCCTCCCTGCCTCCCTCTCCCAGCGAGCTGTCTGAGCCACTCAGTAAGCTTGCAACGTACTGCCCTTTTTTGCATCAGGCTAATTTGGTTTCGTGAAAGACATGCAATTTTAGAAGCAATTTGAAGTGCCCTCTCTCTCTGTCTGTCTCTCTCTCTGTCTCTGTCTCTGTCTCTCTCTCTGCCTGTCTGTCTCTCTCTCTCTCTCTCACTCGCTTTCTCTCTGTCTCTGTCTCTCTGTCTCTCTTACTCACTCAAACTTCCGGCTGGTGGAGGGAAGGTGCCATGGGATGGGCCTCGGGCCCGGGGAAGGGAAGGCTATGGTGGACTCTGTGGTGGACTCCACAAGCACTTAGTTGTGCTTGCGGGGGTTGAGCTCTGGCTCTTTGGTCCAGAGTGTGTGTGTAACTTTGATGTGTGTGTGTGTGTGTGTGTGTGTGTGTGTGTGTGTGTGTGTGTGTGTGTGTGTGTGTGTGTGTGTGTGTGTGTGTGTGTGTGTGTGTGTGTGTGTGTGTGTGTGTGTGTGTGTGTGTGTGTGTGTGTAAATCTCAATATTTATCATTTTCATCATTCATTTTTAATATTTTTTCCTTCTTTTACGATCCGCTGAGCCATTACTGGTATGACTTTCTGTTAGAGTTTTGATTAATTGTCGCTGTGCATCGGATCACTTGTTAACTAAATTGACCAATTTGTTGCTATCACACACACACACCACACACACAATAAAAGACACTAAGGGGATTGACAGGGGTGGAAAAAGAGGAAATGCTCACAATACCACTAGAACAAGAGGGGCATGGATGGAAGCTTGAGAAACTGAGGAGCAATAGGAATGTTCGAAAGTCCTTTTTTAACTTAAGAATAGTAGTGAAATCAAATATATATATTATGAGAGAATGTCTATCTGTCTGTGTCCAAAGTTGGGGGCCAGATGTTCGGGGGCTTGCCACGTCCAAAGTTGAAGGCTAGAAACTTGGGACTAGCCTCACTCAGCTTTGCAGTGGAAATGGTCTGGGGTACGGGATGAGCACAGGCGAGACGAGGTCTGCCCAAGGTAAATATTTTATGAAATATCAGTCTATTAAACGCAACTACCACATAGGATTTTCGTTAAATCGAAAGTGAAATTGCGGATGTATTTTCCGTAGAGTTTACCTCGTTTTTACTTGAACCTAATTAAATGTTCATTGAGGTTACAGTGATGAAAAATAGTAAGTAGAGATGAAGATAGTGAATATTGTATATGGTTAGGGTGATGGAGACAATATGTACAGTGAAAATGTAAGATGAGAGAGGAAAAGGAGGGAATGGGAAAGATGACGGGAGAGGGATTGATTACGGGATCAGGGGGTATCCTGATCAGGTTGATCTGGATACCTGATCAACCAGGCTGTACTTCATACGTCAGGCTGCAAGCAGACGCTTCCAATAACCTGGCAAGGTAAATCATCGCAAGGTAACCGCTGGTGGTGAAATAAGGCAGTAGGATGGGGGAAGGTGTGAAATGTGGGAAGAAGAGGGAAGAGGGGTGAACAAGGGGAAGAAGAGGGGGAAAGCAAAGTGAAAAATGGTTTAGAGAGGAGACAGAAGGGCACTACCGGGTTCCCCTCTACATATAGATAAATAGAAATGTCGGTTCGAGGTTGGAGGCCAGACGGGGAAAAGAAGGGAAGTAAGGAGCAAAGGAGAGGAGAGTGGGGAGGATAGGAAGATTGGGGTGACGGGGAGAATGAAAAGGGAAGAACATGGGGAGGGGTGAGAAAGAGAGGATGAAAAGAGGGGAAGTGTGGGAAAGAGTGAGAGGGAGAAGGTAAAAGTGGGAAGGGCGAGGAAGAGTGGGAGGGGCGGGAAAGAGAGGATGAAAAGAGAGGTAATAGCTGGGATAAGAATAGGGTAATTGGGGGGGTAGAAGGGGGGAGGTATGGGGGTGGAAATGACTGCCCCGGATACCGCCGGGTACCTCCTAGTGAACGTTAAGTAACAATACGTTCTTAGACGCGAACTTAATACATAATTTCAAAAGTAAATATTGATGAGTATGATATGCAATAATAAATGAACTAAACTAAAACTCTCCCTTGGTGTATATAAACCGAGTTTACTTTAGTACTGGACTATGTTCAAAGCTAAATGTAACCAATTACTGGTTGGTCAGTAAGCACTTGTGGGAATATATATACACCGAGAAGAGTAACCCCAGCGTATATGCATGAATTTACTGACAATAAATGACACAGTCTAAAATATACCTGCTGTCATGTTTGGTCAATAAACTATTGCGGTGGCCTTAATAATCCTCCAGAGGTTAATGGGCCTTAATGTCCACCACACAAGATGTGGCCGGCGTCTTAGGTGAGGACGCTTGAGTAGTCTGGAGGCAGCCATGGCGGACGCACAGGAGGAGACGTGCCACCAGCCCCTCGCTCTTCAGGACGCCGCACCGGCTCCCACACAGGCTGTAGAAGATGTCCAACCTCCTCCAGATGGTGGAGAAATTGCCGAGGCCAATTATGAGGCATCTTTCAAGGTATCCTTTTGGTACTTAATTGGGAAAGTTGTAATTTGTTCAGCGTAGTGCACTATGATGGCGATGGTTGTTAGGAGACGCTATTATATTTGGCTTATTGTGTCGTAGGTCAACCCCTAGATCCTTCTTACTGTTGTTTCATTGAGGATATCATCTCTTATATTATACCTTGTCTGGCCTCCTGCTCCCTCCACCAACCTTGATTACATACTTTAGTTAAACTCTTGTAGTCATTTCTTGGACCATTCTTTGTTCAGGTCCTCTTGTAACCACTTGCTGTGGTTGTCTTAATCCTCATAAGTTTTGCGTCAAGCATTGAGAAAAATGAGTAATACCTTGGAAGCTAACGAGAAACAGGATAGGTCCAATGACTGAACCTTGGGAGAGACAACTAGTGACAGCTCACTACTGAGATCTTGCTCCCTTGGTAACTGTCGTGTGTTGCTTAGGTGCTCCTTTATCCACTGGAGCACCTTCTGTTACTGCTGCCTGCTTCTCCAACTTGTGCACTAGTCTCTTAAGGGATACTGTGTCAAAGCTTTCTGGCATTTCACCAAAAATATGCAGTCTGCCTACCCTTGTTTGATTTGTCACATGGTCATAAAATTCTATTAAACCTGTGAGGCAAGATTTGCCATCCCTGAACCCATGCTAGTGACGTTACAAAGTTTCTAGATGTTCTACTAGTTGTTCTCAAAATCTTCTCCATCACCTTGCATGGTATACAAATTAGGTATACTGGCCTATAGTCCAGTGTCTCCTGTCTCCCTTGTACCATTTGGTAGGTCTCCTGTTACCACTGATCTGTTATACACTGTGGAGAATGGCAAGCATATTGCTTCTGGGAGGAGGAAACTGTGGAGCCATATCAAGGGAAGTTAATAAATTATTAACTCTTAATATTTCCAGCTTTAGACCCCTGGAGTGAGGAATTCACTTCACTCTGGGTTGTCACAATATGCATTTCTATAAATACTTGAATGAAAATAGTTTATTTGCAAGTGTTAAAAATGTTGAAGACAATTTAAAAAAAATCAGTATACAGAATTTCAAAATTTGAATCGATACTGATATCAGTTCCTAAAATTTGGATGAAAGCTGCACCTCAATTTTTTCCTGTTTGATTCTAAGAAAGCACAAAATAGGAATGGTCAACAAACGAAGAAAAATAGTAATACCAAAATTGGTCTGGAACATAATTTTAATATTTTTGGATGCAATCGTGTCACATGCTCTTGAATTCTAATTAATGATTTTATGTATAACAAGTTTTATTATTTTTAGATAATTAATAGGATTTATAAGCAAAATCCAATTTCCTAAATTTTATTCAAGGAGATTGAATTTATCTATCTGACCCCATTTTGAATTAAATGTGATGCATAAAGTTTTTTGTTATGTAATTGGATTAAGTTGTTTGTCAGCATAATAAGAATGTGACAATTTTGTTTCCATTATGTTTCCATTTTACAAAATGGTCTTGTGATGTCCATAATGCAAATATTCGCACCATTCAACTGTCTGAGCTTAGTCTACCATAGATGACATGGAAAACCCTTCTTTAAATTATTAAACAGTAGATATAAAAATGCCTCGCACTGAAGTTTAGCTTTTGACACTATCATTCCAATCGTGATCCAGCACTTTTAAAATGAATGACAGGTTGATGAAGTGCATGTAAATTCTCTGTAAACCTATTTAAATGTGTATATTTGCACCATACAGTATGCATGTTGAATTTTGTGTATGAAAATGTAGCCATAATAGTAAACATTTAATTTTTTTTAATGTATAAAGTAGGTTAAATTCTTGGGAATAATAAGTGGAACCTTACACAAGCCACTGGGTTGGCGTCCTGATAAAAGCCACTACTGTAGATGGTAACTAAGGTAATTACAGGTAAAAAGCCCCATTTTGGATATTTACTAAACACTGCATAGGTTTTCTGGTAATGTTTTAAGACATGTCTGGCTACATTGGTAAACATAAATCTTAAAAGCTATAACATTCATTAAATTATTTCATGCACAAAATTAGATTACTGCATATCTTTGGTTTATATCGGCATACTTTTTTTTTTTTTTCAGGTCGAGAGCAGTGGTACTACTGGCAGCATAAGCAAGAGTAATTATACAACCCATAAATTTTGTCATTACTTGAATGTTGCACATTATCCCTTTATGCATGTTTGAAGTTCCATGCCATGATACATTACTGTGCAGTATTTGCCTATGTGGGCAAAAATTAGTTGTGCTGTACTGTACAGTACTTATCAAAACAGGAACAGTTTTAAGTTTCTGGATGCAGCATGTTATTCCATTCAAAGTTTGACTTTAATTATGAAAAACAGCATAATACTTTACTGTAGTTTTAGCTGGAAAATATTTAATTTAATTCTTGTAGCTACCAGAAGTTTATAATTTGCATGGATGCTTTTCTAATCTTTTTAATTTCTAGCCACCTGAAATGTTTTGTTTGACTGTTACTGCTGATCTACTACATAGAATTGTATTTTATACTGCCATGTACAGTACAGTAATGTACATCATAATGAGACATTAGCTGTTTATCATAATTTTTTTTTCTTACAAGGTGGTGTAGTTAGAGCAACTGGAGTTAATATAGCACTTGTGTATTCACCAGTTCTGAATAATATCTTGCCTCTGACATGCCAGCTGTCTTATAATTTTAGCTCGGTAATATTTAACAACATCTGGGAATATTTAAAAGATACTAGATGTAGTACATGGAAAAATGATAGCAATAACATGCATTGCTGAAAGAAGAATTGGTACACATCACCCATAATGAGTGGAGACTAGCAGCTGGTGATGCACTTTGAGACTCGAGTTCCTAGCAGTTTTCCAATTTAATTGAAAGTGTCAAGAATTTGTGTTTTTATGGGAAATTGTGGTGAGCTCTCTCAATGGGGGTTTGCAGTACAGTATTATCAATAGGCTACTTGACAATTATTTAACTTGTGGTATTTCTGGTTTGTTTTGGGTACAGAAAAACTGAAGTGATCCCTCCCACTTTTTTGTTTAATTGTGAAGTTAGTAGACATGGCAAAGGAATATATAGCAGATGTATTTGTGCTGTGAGGAAAAGCCTAATTGATAAGATTAGGCTTTTTAGTCTTGATGAATTATTTCATTCAAAAAATTTGGCCAATTGTACTGCTAAAATATTTTGCTTATGATATTTATTTCTGATAATCATTGTATCCAATTTTAAATTTCAGATCAATGGCGTTGTCCTGATCCAAGTTGCAGGAACTGCAATGATTATAATGAAACAAAGTGCATTAAATGTGGGTTTACTCAGCCCAGGTCCAGTGGACGATATAGAAGTAAGACTTGCTGTTGCCGTATGGGATTAGCACTTGAAAGGATTTATAGACAAAATATATACAGTACTAGTAGACATTGACAGCATTGTATATATACCAGGTATAATAGTGTGGTGGAATTGTCAGGTGTAATAGTGGGTGGAATTATCAGTATCTTCAGGTCAATGTGCGAGGAGAAAAAGAGAGAATATTTACACGTACATTGAAACTATCGTTGTGTGTGCATAATTTTACAGGTTTAGCAAAGATTTCTTCTTTTTAAAGTACAAATGAATTCAGTCACAATAACCAAATGGTGCCTTTATTATTTTTAACATGGAAAAGCCAGGGTTATAATCTACCTCCATAGCCCTTTCGCTAATTGAATCCCTCTCATCTCCTATAGAAAATCAAGCAATCAAGGTAACTCCAATATCTGTTGTATATTTTTTTCCGAGAAATAAAATTATTTCTTGTGGGGCTTTGGTAAATTTCTTAATGTTTTTCACTTTTTCTTAATTGCATCAAATATGCCATTTGTAAGGCAGGGATTATTAAAGGTTTGAACTGTCTTGTTTAGTTAATAAAGTGTGTCAAGTAGGATAGTTACAAGTTGTTCTCAATGATTATACCAGGTTTGTTTATTATTTAACATATTATCCAGTGAAGTGATTTGAGTGAATATAGTGATTATGGTTACTGTATCAACATTCAAGAATTCGAGACGTCACCAAATTTATTTTTAACTTTCAGGTCGAAGAGGATTACAATCCAAACCAGAAAAGATACAAATTTGGCCAACTTGTGTTGTATCTGCAAATCAGTTTTATGGGCACACTTTGGAGGAAAAGAAACAGGCCGAACGCATTGCACATCTTCTCAACGATGCAGTAGAAACAAGCTTCAATAAAGTAGAACAAGTCATTACTGGAATGGTATGTTTAAATTCTAACTTATTTGTGGTGCTAATATTGTATGTATGTGTGTGCACATTATTAATTTGATAGTGGGCCAACCCACTTATTGGCATAACCCCTAGTTTCTTACCACACAGTGTGCTAGCTCTGATATCTTTTATCTGATAAAAAAAAAATTAAGAAAAAAATCATATCCGACCAGCTAAAAATTAGCTTATCGTTTCATATAAGAACTCTTTAAAAGAAATTACATTAAATATCCAGTGCTGCACATTCTTTGAATACTATACATAAAGCTGCATTAGTTGCTCCTGTTAAGAAATATCTTAAATGGTTGTCGTTTTTCAGGTGTGCACTTACAAGACTGACAAAGGCTGGGTTCGTGTAAATGTCAAAGGATCTTGCATTACGGAATCTTGTCCTTACCGACAGAAGCTTGACAGTGAGGCTTGTATCAGTGATGCTGCTAGTTATTGGCACATTGTTTGGATAGATTATGGTAATTTGAGTTGTGTGCCATCTGATGACCTGGCCTTGGTGACAAAAGATATGGGAAACGTATCACCAAAGGTCAAACAATATTACCTGAAAGGTGTTTATTTGCCTAAGGAATTTATGAACACAGAGATTCAGGTAATACCGTACTTGGTTTAAATTTGTTAATGTCATTGTATTAAGATTTTGGTGTTAGGATGCTCGATATTATAGGATCAAAATTAGGGATTAGAGTACTGTATATGACTGTTACTTCATTGATTGAATTCTTAATTATTGTTCCATTTAAATATACAGTACAGGTAGCCCTCTATTTGCACATGGGTTGTATACTTACAAAAACTATGTAAAGTGAACCATATCCAAATGAATCTTATATGTATATTGAAATATACAAATAATGGGTTTTGTTCCAAAAAAAAATTTTACAGTAATATTTCTGCAAAAAATATATATTATGCATTTACAAAAGATTACAGAACTTCAAAATGTTAAATAATACATTTATGAAGACAATGATGGCTTGTGTATTTTTATAGAGGGGTTGCTTTCTTAGTGGACTTAGAGAAGGTGGGAGGGGAGAGCCTGACCTCTGGCCGGGCTTGGGGAGGAGTAGAACTCTCAGTACCCTTTCCAGGAATGCTCCAGGTAGGTGGCTGGTGAAAGATTTTCAGCGTCTGACTAAAGTTACCAACTTTTCATTGGCAAGTGACTACAGGCGTTAGAATAACTGCAGGTTTCTGTATTCCCTCCAATCTGCAAACTGCTGAAAATTGGGCTCCAATCTGTTTGCAATGCTTTGTTTATTTCTGCAAAGAACTTAGCCATATACTTAAAAGTATATACTTGCCTTTAGAACTTCTCGTTTGCTTTCTTCTGCAAATATTTACTCCTTTCATCATTGGTTTTGCATTTTTCTAAGACATTTATGTTTAGTGGGATGTCCTGGCAATTTATCTGCCTTTAGTGTTCAGCCCAGAGCTCATCTGCTTTGCCTGAAGAGGTGAAGAGGTGGCAGTGTGACGCTTGGGACTTCCCCCCCCCCCCCAAATGTATGTACTTGGGCATCCTTATCCTCCTACTCTTGGTGCTAGCTTGTCCATTGTGAATTTGCTTCTAGCATTCAAGAAGCCTCAAGTCAGAAATAAGGCTCTGGAATAACATAAGCTTTTTTTTTTCTTTTGGTAGCTCTCCCTCCTTTCCTTTTTGTCCTGACTCGTCATAATCTGTTGTCTTACAAGGTGTTGTCATCTGACGGTTGGGGGGAGTTAGCAGCTTGTCGTATTAAATAGCAGAGCAATAATTGAAATTTCTTGCAATTCAAAGGATTGCTTGCAAAGTTATTTTTTAGTTTCTTGATGAGCTTGTTTTACTTATAGTTGGTGATCACTCGATGGAGGATTCTTCCTTCTCCAGGTTATTGTGAATATAATTTGTATAAAATACTTTTTCTCCCACAATGACAAGTCGACAGAGCCTGGTATATCTAGCAAGTATCATGGTTGAACCAGAGAGGCTGACCCAGGGATCAGTCAAGGGACCAGATCAGAGACAAGTTTGTTACCTGAAGCCCAAATTTGTCTCCATTATGATGAGCATGTCCACGATATTTGTATACAAAATTAAATGTAAGGCAAGAGAGAAAGAGAAAAAAGTTGCTCCTAAACTTTCACTTGCCTAGTAATTTTTGTTCTTCAGGGTCGCACGTGGCTGGAATCCATCATCTCTAACCAGGTTTTGGATGCAGAGTGTTATGCAAGCTCTAAATTTAGGACTTACGTTAAGGTTAGTGTGCTCGAAGCCCAGATGTCCAACTGCTAAACAAAATATGTAAATGGAGCCTCAATCTGGAATGATTGGTACCAGACCTCTACACAGATTTTTAAAGTTAATTGAATTAGAAAAGGTTTCAATTTTTTTTTCTTTTAGCTTTACACATTTTAAAAGTAGTATAAACTTTTAATAATTAGTAGCCATATAGCAAATAATTATTGTACTGTTTTGAAATATTGTATAAAATTTCAAGTTGACAATAAGTATTTAACTATAATATAACCATTTTATATATATATAATATATACTGTATATAAGAACATATGCTGCCAGAGAAGTATAATGATCCACTGTAACCCATTCTTGCCCATTGATAAGTGCCTAGTTTAAAGTGCATCTGTTTAACTATTGATATGCCTTAATTGTTCAGGTTGATGCACATTAGTTTAACTATATATAAATTGAGATGCTTAAATCCCACAAAAGCCACTAAATTTGGATTCTGCTGTCTAAGGCACCCAAATTGAGTACACAAAGTGAAAGGATGGATTGTGCATTACTAAGGATTACAACCAGTAAAACAGAAAACACAAAGGCCACAAGGACTATGACATTCCTGTAGGACCATTTTAGTGCTTGGAATTTATTGGAAAATATCAATCTAGCCAAGATAAAATATTCACAAAATTTTCATAAACTCAAATATTAGTCCCAGTATAACATCACTTTTGACTGCCAATAGCATACTCTAAACATAATAACCACTTGCAATATAATGCAAGTTTGGCCTTGTTGAAACTCCAAGGGTTCAACTGTCTCTTGTACAGTCCAAGTGCCTTGCAATGGTTTGGCACGGGGGACTGACTGTCAGTTAAATTAGCCCCATACCCATCTGGAGGTTCAATTGATCCATAAGGTAACCACCCATTTAGATGTGACTGACTAATCTGGCTAATTCTGGGTACAAGTCAGTCGATTCTGCCTTACTTATTTCTGGACAGTGATTGTCTCCTCTGTGGCAGTATTTGTTTCAGTATCTAGTATTTGTTCTCATGAAGCAATAGTTATAAGAAGAATAGTGAACTAAATTCACCTTGTTCTTTTGAATGAATATTTATAGTGGCAAAGTTGACGTTTGAGTATGACATTGAACTTTGTTCACAAAAGTAATGATCAAAAGTTAAATTTGCTGTAACCTACTACAGTATTATCCAAAAGTGCATCTGTATATGTATAGATACTATGTAATGATTATTACACAGGAACATTTATATTATAAATATATTTTCCAATACAGTACAGTATTTCAAATTTACATTAATATTTTGTCAATAACTCTTACATTCAGTTATTGAAACATATTTCGACTTCGGCCATCTATTGATTGCACGAGGAATGCTTCATGACTGCTCTATGCTGCCTGTACGTGGTAAAATGTAATACTGTAGTTGAATTATGACATTTATCTCCTCAATAATTTATTTTCAGATTACAGTTGGAGACGTTGATGTTAATGAAGCTGCCGTAGGAAAAGGTTTTGTAAAGCCTTTGCCTGATTATGCCAAGTCACTTAATAAGGTATTTGTTTTATTATTAGTTCTGCAATAATTAGCCATTGTTTATTCCTAACCTCAAAGGTCATAATTATAATACTTTTGAAAGCACTGTATACTCTATGCTCAGGACTCTGCCATAGCTGAGGAAAAAAATAATTATTGGTAAACATTAAACTAAACTGATGTTTTACTGCTTTGGCAGCAGCAAGTTTAACATTAAGTGTTTCTGCCGTGTTTCTAATGAGCCAACATCATGATGTCGCCCACAAGACCCTATGGGTGACACATGCTTTGACTCTTAGATTTACTTGTACAAAAATACTCTTGTGAATCTTTTTTTTTTTGCATCTTATATACCAAACTTCCTTAGTATTACTCTATGCTACATGGTTCCTCTCCTTGTTGTCAAAATTTCCTTTCACCTAATGTGGCTGTTCACCTAGGAGTTGGGAAACTCTAGATATCCTGCACATTTGATGGTGCTACATAGCCTTCCCAGCTTGGTGCCTTCTTTTGATAATTACTTATTAGGCAACTGTTATGGGGTCACATTATGCTGCATCTGCAGCATACAACAATTATAGCAACATTTATTCTGCTTCATCTTGGATCATTATTTCTGTAGTAAAGAGGGTACTGTGATATTTTGAATTATATTGTTCCTGTCAAGTTATAAATCAGGGTTTTACCCCTAGTATTTTCATTTTCATTTTGCAGAAGAAAGAGTCAAAAAGGAAAGGCAGCCGTAATACACAGCCAAGTGCTGCAGGTGCCAATATTTCTGAGCTGTTTAAGTCTGGGTAAGTACTAGTGACCCTTGCATGGATGAACCTAACATTCTCTCATTTTTAACTACTTATGACTTTCTTGTAAAATTTCCACGTACGGTATGTGCAGAATGTGATAAATTAGGTTAACTATAAGTCTTGAATCTTGCAAGATAATTTTCTCCAGAATGCTGATTAAGATTGACTTAGTACTGAACAGTGCAGTTCATAATTGTTATATTTAGCTTATGTATAGCTAAATATACATAATTATGTATGAATTGTATTGCAACATTACAAACATTTGGTGTTTAACATTGATGATATTTTAATATAAGGGATGGTAGTACTATATCTTGATGCAACTCGGTTGCTCCAGTATGTATTTTCTCTTAAAAATTGTTTTGATTCTTTTCTAAATTTAATTAGCCATATATATTTATACCCTCTTTATTTAAAATTTAAAGTGAGGAAAATGAAGAGGAAGCAACTTCACTTGTTCCACGCAAACCAGTATCATCGGAGCAGAGAGATGCCCGTTTACTGGAGATGGTGAGCATTTAATGTTTTATGTAGAGAATGCTTTTAATATAGGCAACTTTTCTTTGTACAGTATTTTGGCTAAATATTACAGTATAAGCAAAGTTAGTGAAAAACAGTAAGCAAAGGGCAAGTGGGAAAAATGTAAAGGCTGTAGGTTCCAAAAGTCCCTCTGGAGCTTCCCTGAACCATAACCATGAGTCCAACCAGGTCACTATTTGTATTCCAGGCTCTGTGCGACTTTGGGTGGAGGCACCGAGTGTAATTACCAAAGTGTTGTTACAGGATGAGAGCAACGCTCGTGGTGTCCAGTATTCCCAGTACTCTTTTGATGTATAACTTTCAAACTATTGATGGTTTTGGCCTCCACCACCTCACTTGTTCCCACCCTGTTTGCAAAGGAAAATGTTCCAATATTTTTTTTTGGCACCTTTGTTTCCATAGCTTGAATCTGTGTCTTCTTGGTTCGTGAACTTACTGGTTTCAGGAATTCCTCTTTTGTCAATTTGGTTTGTTTCTGCTAGTATTTTGTAAGTGCTGATCATATCACCTCTTTTTTTTCTATCTTTTAGTTTTGGCATGTTTAATGCCTCTAATCTCTCCATGTAACTTGTTTTTTCAATTCTGGAAGCTATTTTGTAGCATGCCGTTGCACCTTTTCCAGTTTATGTAATGTGTGTGCGGTTGTTCACACGCGCTAGAACAGGTTAGTCAATCTGTTGCTTTCCTCCAGTTTCGATGGTGTTCTTTATGGAGATCATGAGGGAGAGCCTTTGAGGCCATGTCATTTTTGTTGGTCACTGGCTGGCTCCTAGTTAACGGGGAATTGAGCTCATGCTTTACAGCGCCTTCCTTCCTGGTCAATGAGGAATTTCATGCTTTACAGTTAGATCTCATTGTCATTAGTGTGGTTAGACCATCTGTCCCTTCATTTATACAGGTGCTGACTTGCACCAGTATCACTACCTCACTATTGAGTATCTTGTATGATCTTACCAGCATCATGAATCATGCTTGAATGCCAGTCATTACTGCCTGCTACCTTCATCACTTGCAAGGGGATGTTAAAGGTATTTGTCATTCTATTGTATTATGAGCTGGTCCCTTGGTTATGGTTTGCATTGGTCATGCTACCTTCCCTTGATTACCTTGAAAAAAATAATATACAAATATTCTAATCACAGGGGGGGGGGGAAGAGACAAGGTCAGAGAAAGTATAAGGGGAAAGTGTTCTATGTAGACAGTAATGGGTCTGGCTTGGGAACATCAAAGGGAACTAAGCTCAGAAAGAATGCTAAATTGTAAATTAGGTGACAATTCTGTATGAGGGAAAAAGTAGTGTGTGATAATGATATTTTATAATCAGGGTCATGAGCTTATGAAGGCTGTGGTGGCAACCGTGGAATTTGAGCTACAGGGGGATTCTACGAGACTTGTTGACATGGAGCAACTGATTGAGAAAGTGAAAGACAGATGCTGTGGGAAGAAACTGAATTTGAGTACAAAGAATATTGGAAAGAAGAGCAAAGAGGGTATGAACTTTCTGGAATTTAATAGAGTATTCGTGCTAACTAAGGAAGTTCTTAACGAGTTAATCATTGCAGTCACAATAGGTAAGCCAATTTAGTTTTCTTACATCTTTTACCATACGTTTTGTGAATGTTATCCCTTATCACAAGCTTGTTTTCTAAACTCGGATTAAATTGTTGGTACTTGTCAAAATTTAAATAAGGTTGTATTTGAAAGAATTAGGATTTTCTAGGGTATTGCATACCAGGTAGTTGAATTGAGCTTGAATGAAACACCTATGTTTTTGTAAAAATAACTTTCAAACTACAGTATATCATAAGCAAGTTTGAGATATAAATCTTACAAGTGTTTTCTGTGCATGTAGCATACCTCGAGAAACAATCACTCTACCAGGAAGAGCACAGAGCCTCCTAGCCATAAACAGTTGCTCGTGATAAGAACAGGGCATACAGGCAGCCAACTATTTCTTGTCACACTGCACAGGCTCCTCGCTGATCTTGATCCCAGTCTAATAAAAATTAGGATGATGCCCAGCAAAGAAAAGTACACCGAAACCCCTAGGAGACAAATGAGTGTGCTTCCATAAAGTTTTACTATGCAAAAATTTAATGTTCTGCTCTATAGCGGATAGGATTTTGGAGGTGGTAGTTCTACCACTACCAGAGGTACAATATTATCATCCTGCATACCAAGAGGATTTGTGATTTTATTCAGGATTGAAGGTGTTGGACACCAGCTACACAGGGCTTATAGTAATCCCTGCAGGGTCATATTTGATGCTCAGGAGATGCAGGAAATAGGCCATCCAGCACTGGAATAAACAGAGGCCCAATAGTCTGTTCACAAATGATATCCATTGCCCTGCCCAGCAATTGGTCAATAGCACTACCCTCCTGGAGAAGACATTGCGGTATGGTAATCAAGATTGGAGAACACTGCGCGCACCAGTCTGTACTATTACACTTATTATTCCATATTGAATCCATAAATTTCTTGCCTGGAAAGGCATCGGGATCAGAAGACCACTTGGTAGGTACAGTAGTTTTATTTTTTCGCCATCTGTTAATACCCATCAGACCTAGTTGCACATGGTGGGAAGATTGCATGTATGTAATGCCCATAAATAAACAAAAAAATTTGTATTGAATTAAAAGATCATTATCTTTCAGATTTGGCTTGCTATCATCGGGAAGGAAAAGCATACGCACATCTTCATCCAGAAAACATTCTAGTCACTGAGTTTGGCAGTGCCCTACGTGCTCCAGAATGTGCTAAAAAATGTTCCATTACAGAAAATTGGCCCTTTCAGTTTGCAGAGCCATGTGATACACAGCGTATTAAGATTTTGAAAGACTCTTATAATCTAGGAGTTCTGATGGTATGGGCAGTATCTCATGGTGAAGGCAATTTTGAAGGGGGCAAGGAAGCTGCCATTAATCGGATTCCACTCATCAAGCATCTTATTGCTGAAGAGCCTCTTGAGCGACCCACTGTGAAAGATCTCATTGTGTTGCCATGGCATTCGCCCAAGGCTCCACAAGCTGAACAATAGCAACCTCTTAATGTTAAGGATAAAATATTTTGCTCAATGTAAGGGAGTACAAACTACTTTAATTACACCATAAGCTGACATTCAAATTTATTTTTGTAAAAGTATAGTTATTTTTGTTACGGATATATAAGGTGCTTTTATTTTATTTTTTTTTTTACTGAAGATTCTACACCAGTTCTGGGGAGTTATTAGCATTTTGGCTTCCTATTTTTTGTTTACCTTTTCAAAATGAAATGTAATATGGAATTTGTTATAAAATTTTCAAATAAAGTATAAAAAAAGGATACATTTTCTTCTTGGTTAATACTGTACGTATGTCATACTTTCATGATAGTAAAATTTATACATATTGCAATTGTAAAAAAAAAATCTAAGGGTTTTAATGTCTTCAACAGCTTCAAACAATAAATATATAATGCATTAATAATTAAACATTCAGTTTTTTCAGTGTGTACTGGGGTAGCCCAAGGTTGAACTACTGACCTTCCCCAGGATGTGACCCCACTATAGTTGCCTAGTAAGTAATTATCAAAAGAAGGCACCAAGCCGGGAAGGCTATGTAGCAGCATCAAATGTGCGGGATATCAAGAGTTGCCCGACTCCTAGGCAAACAGCCACATTAGGTGAAAGGAAATTTGTCAACAATCCTGACACAATCCATGGGACACTTCTCATTAAAAAAAAAAAAGTTTTGTAGTATAGACAGAAAATACCTTGGACAAGAAATATATTTCAAAAGTTTTATACTTTGTAATTCTTGAAAGTACATAAGCAATCTTTGTCTTGTTGCAAGTATTCCAGTATAACAGTTTGTCCATTATAAATTTGCTGATCATCTAGAAGTGATTTCAGTGTCTGATCCATGGGACCAAGTTTAGAGCCATCACTTGCATGGAAAAGCATCAGTTTATCTGCACCCAGGATATTATTGTGATTTGCCACCTGAAAATATTGTACACACTTTAGCATACAACATAATAAGATTTGTTTAAGGAAAGAAAACCTGATTTCTTTTTACCTCATGACTTTTTTGTTTAATAAAGAACAATAAAATTTGCATAAAGAGTTACACAGGTAGGTACAGGAGCAGAAAAGACTTTTGGCTCCTGTTAGCAAGCTATGAGCATTCCCTTCCCAAAGCTCATTGTAAGCCTTACCCACTACTTTCCTCGTAATATCACCCACCAATCCATTAACCCAGCAATAATTGTACCTGGTTGCTAACTAGAGATGAACAGTTAATATACACTTCTGCAAGCTCGATATTGTTTAGATGACTGCGATAAATGTCATCAGGATGTCAAAGTGTAAAGAATAAGGACTGGTACCCAGACAATCCTCCCAGGTCAAAACTATCCCATACCAAACCACTCGCAGGGTGTGTTACCACCAGGGACTATACCCAGTGGGCACAATATCAAAGAGCAATACAGATTCAATGCCTCAACTGAGAACAAAAGGCTTATGTCAAAGGTATCTGATTCACCATGGATTCTATAAGGGGTACAAATGGCCCCAAGGAACGTTACGAAAGCTAGACATTATCATCCTGAAAATCAGGATATTCTACAGGGTGTACAACTTAATGGGACAACGAAAAGCGGGATTGAGTTCTATTAAGTGCCTGTGAGTTGAGTGTGTTGGGTCAATATGTAACCTAATCAGTCCTTTTCCATTGTCTTATTATGGTGATAGAGGAAAGCTAATGGGTATAGGTTACATTAAGAATGCAGTTTGTTATCTGTAATGCCAGACCAATGACCCTGCAAATGGTTATGGATTGTGGAATTAATGACTAGGTAGAAATCTAAATAAAGAATCCCTTTTTGGGAAATGGGACAAGAGCAAGTTAATTTAGTGACAGTACTGTATCTGCATGCTCATTTAAGGTAACACTAATATGGCTGGAAACCCAGCAAACTTCAACTCTTAAATCTGCTAGAGATATGAAGGAGCCCCTATCTGATTTAGACCACCACAGCATGCAAAGGGTTAGAGCCATGAGGGCACTATGAGAGAGACTGCAAGTGTTTTTGTTGTATGTGACAACTTGCAAGGAGCAATGTACAGCCACTCTTGCAAAGCAGAAAATTGTAATTTCATATTTTTTAGTACCTTCTACACTCTACTACAGTATTATTTTTCTCCAGACTGATGCCACGACACTTTGTGAAAGAGAAACTGAGCGATGGTAAATTAAAAATCAGAAAAAGGTATGGAATAATGCCTATAGCTAGGTTTAAGATATTAATGCCAGACAATATTTCTGCTCGCCCCTATGCTAACCTTACTCTTTGACATTTCTGGGGTCTGAGTGTTCACTGATATAAAAAATATGAGGATGAAAATGTGCAGTGTTAAATTTTAAACGTGTATAGTCACACTATGCTTTGACATCTTATTCTTTCTCTAAAATCATACCTTCGTAATATTAGCTGTTGCGTCAATGGCTTTGCCAACTGTCCAATGATGGGAAACGAATACTGGTTGTCCTGTAGCACTATAACTTTTTGGCAAAAGAACCATAAGGTAAACTCGCTCCTCCTGTGGCAAACCCTGATCACCACATGACTTTTGCTTCAATTTCATTAACTGTACCTGAAACACAAATGTTTGTAATTATATTTTCTTAAAATAAATTACCCAAAACTAATTAGTTCACATTACTGCAATGGGTTTCTAAAGCTATTTTTTTTAACTGCTAATTAATTGGCTATGTACAGACAATGTTCCAATTTTGAGTTGAAAAAACAACTCTTAGCTTAATTATGGTTTTGTCAAATAACATGTCTATTTTTCCTAAGGTTCCTGTTCAATATCTGAGACTGCCTCATTATTATATATTAATTTGAAATGGTTATTGTCACCAAATAATCAATGGTTTCACCACTGCCTTAGTCCTGACTATCCCCCCCCCCCCACAAAAACAAATGTACAATCATAACACTAAGGTTATTTTTGTTTTTTAGTGGAGAAGCCAACCAGCTTCTTTTCCCTATGATATCTTGAGTTAGACCTTTCAAATTAGCATAATTTGTGGGCTCCTATGTTCATGTTCGATGTTTTCTTTGTTTGCTGCTTCATATTACTTTATACAATGTGTGTGTGTGGAATAACATGATATTTTCTAGTGCTGGTATCATTTTTGTATGTCCCTGGATGCAAAATACAGTATCAAGTTCCTCATCAAGGTTCAATTTCATGAATGCAACACATTTATTTTTATATAAAAATTTGGTACAATATTGATATGCGTTTTCTTATATTGTACTAAATAATTTAATTTAACCTTTAGAATATTAAATGGGGTATCAATTTTTATCTTGCAGAGGGGGAGGTTAGTGAATATACAGAAATAGGAAGGGAAAGGGGAGCAATTTCTATTACAAATGGTGGCCTAATATATAGGCCACAAGCTACTAAATAGAACATGGACTCATCTAATTTCTCCAAAACCATGACATCGAGAGAGCAAAATATTGTTGTTGCCAAGCCATACACTCTCTTCTATCTTAAAACAGATGAATTTTGAGCTTGTGAAAAGCTCTTTTATGAGCATGTTATACTGCAACTCCTAGGAGGCTAGGAGGTATTATCCTTTACAATCCTGCAGCTCTTCTTTTCTTCCCTTCAACACATTTCAACCTTACCTTGGCTGATAGCTTATCAGACTTCCTGCCTTGTCCTTTCTTAGCAGGTGTGGAGTCCAGACGCTCTGTAATTTTCTTCATTTTAACATCTGCCTCGGCCATTGCGTTTTCTGGAGGTTTGTAAGCTGTACATCCATGATCGATCTGTGAAATTAATCCATTATGAAACTTGACCAACATTCCTGTCTAATTGGGAGATTCACCATTCATAACACCTAATTAAGTATTAAAGAAGCAGTGTAACTCAGAAGGACTGTGATGCAAGTCATCATCCCTGCACAATGTTTTATTGTGGTATTCATAATGCAGTGGAACTCCTGTGGAACAGTTTCTAGGATAACAAAAGTGGTCTTTCTTTTAAGAACTCGGATACTGGAATAATCTGAAAGTTACTGGAGTTACATTTTCATAATGCAGATTGTAGAGCCATGTAGTGTAATAACTTCAACAAAAAGTTAAATTTTCCAAGATTGTGTTTTAAAATTCTGTACTACATACACAAAATTTTTTTTAATCACTTGAACATATAAAAATATCATTTTTATTTGAAAGCTGTTGCAGGTAAAACATAGCTATATATTAAAATTTACTTTACTCTCTGTGTTTTTCTACAATAACATGAATTTATTCAAGACAAATGAGCTACTGTATCATTTTGACAAGCTATATGAAATAAGATGACTTTGATGGTCATGCAACAAAGTAAAATTCACTTAATAATAGACAGCTAACACCTTAGAACAATAAGTAAGCCCTTCATTTTGTAACAAGGAACCTCAAGTTGCTCTATATAATCGTACCTGATGTCTATGCGAAAGACAAAAATTATTGGAACAACCAGAGCAGATTACTGGTGCAAGTTCTCCACTTGTGCAGCCAGAATGCTGGCAAGGGTACCTGTAGTTAACATTATCCGACACCTGCAAAAGTACAGTACAATAAAAGTTTTTGCAATCTTAAAAGTTTATAACTAACTAGTTTTCTGGGCTCGGTGCCTTCTTTTGATAGAGTACAGTACATGCTTATCTCAATAATTGGGTACCATTTTTTTTGCAAAACTGTATGCATAATTAATAGGTGGCATGCTAAGACACGAGAGACCTAGTTTTCTGGAAGGGGTAAAGAAAGCCCAACAATATTGTGACTGTGATAGGCTCATTAAGGAGAACTAAAATTAATGTACAGGTATCCTTTAACTAATAAAACATAATACTATAGAGCTAATGTGTCACCAAGGTTATCATGCATCCAAAATTATAAGAAACTTGGGAGTAAGGAAGAGCAGGTGTGGTTTGCCCAGGCAAGAAAGGAAATTATGAGGAGAAAGCAATCAGCCGGTATGCTTACATAGCATAAGTATTATACAGTACAATACAGTGGCACCTCGACTTACGATTGTCCCAACTTACGATAATTTGAGTTACGATATAAATTTGAGCGGAAAATGCGACTTGACATACGATAGTGTCGTCGACTAACGATATTTGTTGATACACGTTCGAGTCGATCGAGTGCATGATCCCCGGTCGTGCAGGCCGACCTGTCTTAGAGCCGCCCGCTTAATGACAATTACGCTTATAAGTCATTCTATTTTTGGGGTGATTTTTTTGCTTTTAGAACATAAAACTGATTATTATACATCATGCCATGGGTCCTAAGAAAGTCAGTGGTAAGGTTCAACATATGAAAATACATGTGAGGATGACCATAAAGGCAGTACAGAATATTCCTTCCTCAAAAATTAAGAAAATGTGTGCAGCATGGGAAGAACGGTAAACTTTTGCTGAAATGACTCACCCAAATCAAGCTGCAGTAGGCCATTGCCTTAACCTTTTCAATGACACTGTGATGCATCACTACAAGCAAATGTTAAAACGAAGGGAAAAACAAGTGTCCCTACACAAATTTTTAGTGAGATAAACTAGCAGTGAATCACAACCAGGTCCTAGTGGTATGCAGGCAAAATGTAGGAGAGTGTACCCCAGAGAAATCATCACTGCCTGATGTTATAATGGAAGGGGACTCCCCTTCCAAACAGTAACACCTCTCCTTCTCCCCCCTCCTCACCATCTTCCATACGCCAATAGGAGTCATCAGTAAAGGTAAGTAATAACTTGTACATACTTTTGTAGTGAAGATTAGGGTGAATTAGGTATAAAATTTACTTTGAAGTTAATTTTTGGGGGAATCTGGAACGGATTAATTCATTTCCCTTTATTTCTTATGGGAAAAATCGTTTCGACTTACAATATTTCAATTTACGATACGTCTCTGGGAACAGATTACCATCGTAAATCGAGGCCCCACTGTATAGCCAAACCAGGGTATCTCGGAAGCACAAGCCCTAGGCAAGTGCTGACCAAATATATTACGGCACCTCATAAAAACTGAACTAATGTCACGAGTTGGGCATCAGGGCTAAAGAAGGATGGATTTTTTATGCCAGAAGAAAATATACTTTGTTATTCTGATATTTTATTATCATAAAGGTTTTATTAGAATAATTTGTACATGATTTTTAAAATTGGCAAAGTTAATTGTATATGAGAGCTGCTTCACTCATTCTAAGCAAACTGTTGTTACATCTCCTCAGATTCTATGATACAGAGCAGTCTAAATGTTTTGGTCTGATGAAACTGAAGGACATAAAATGGTACATGGATCGAATTTATTAATATAAAACTGATGTGCAAAAGAACTATACTCTTTCTACTCTAAGTAAGGAAAACAATTTTAAGTTAAAATAAGTGCTAGAACTAAGACATCTTAAATGCAAGATTATACAGAGCAGTAATACCAACCTGTAGCTTGATTTTGCTGTAATCTCCAGGGCATTGGTGATGTTGGGGCAAAAAATGATCTTTACAAAAATTGGCGCTGCAAAACTGGCATTTAATTGGGAGAAAATCAAGTTGGTTGCATGTTGATTCCTGGCAGTGTTTACCCAAGTTTGGATACTCCATATTTGTTTAACCAAGTTGTTAAAACCTATTGACTGTACAGTACTGACAAAAAATAACTAGTTTGTGATATTCTGTGACTGAGAATCTGTAAGATTGGAGAGCATGAGATCAGTCCACTTGTGCTCCTGTTGTCGCAGCGTCTGATTTGGTGTGGTTGTATCTGGCTCAGGGTCGGGAAGTTCTAGCACCGGCACTGCTATCTCATCACTGGGTAAGCGATCCATGCGCCATGCAGAATCCACAAGCCCTAACAGGCGGCCATCTAATTGCACTTGGGAGTCCATATGCACCCTAGCTGTTTGAAAAGTAAAAAAAAATTCAAAATATTCAAATTTAAATTTAAATATAATGTACTGTACTGTAATTCTAAAATGTAGAGGGGGATTTTTTACTAGTAAGCACACATACTGTATACTTTATGTTGAAAGGTATTTGTCTTTTAATTGAATACATCCTAAAGAAAACCTATTGCAGATGCATTTTCCCCAAAGTGAAAGGTTTGAACAAATTTAAATACATGCAAAAAAAAAAAAAAAAAAATCATTATAATTCACTGTGTCAAGGAATTGACAACCAATGTATATATATACATGTTAGGCTTATATTGAGGTTTGTAAGTACTTTTACATCATCATTCCACCCAGACTGCTTGGTGAGGTGGACATAGTATTCTGGTTTATCAAGTGTTTGTTCATTAGCAAAGGGTTCCAGTTCCCTTTACAGAACAGTATGTATACAAAAGCTTCCTGAATATGTTTTGACACATTCTATAGGTCTGCATAAAAAAAGCATGCCAAACCAAAACATTTCTTAATTTTATTAAATTTCGTAATTTGTCAAAGAACCGCTCGCAAATTTAGTACAGTATTTGGTTTGGTTTCCCAATGTCGGGGAATAGGAAGCCTGTTTGGTTTATCAAGGTCCCTTAGGTCAATGATCGACCTTCCACAGGTTGCATCTCACAACAGTTGCCTAATTCTTGTGTACTTATTTACTGCTAGGTTTTAAGTTAGTGTGTATAAAAGTTTGGAAAGGTGACAAACTACACTGGATTAAGTTGAAACATTTTTGGTTAATATGTCTATTTTATGTTAGAAGCAAGTTGATAAATAGACCACTTAACCTGTAACCGAACATATGATAAATTTATGCACTTTCCTAGTACAGTACTGTATTGTAATTGAAGGTCACTCACTAGAGATGGTGACACTCAGATATTTATTTATTTATTTATTTATTTATTTATTTATTTATTTATTTATTTATTTATTTATGCATATACAAGAAGGTACATTGGGAATGTGAGGTTACATAATATGGTAATTACAGTCTTGTAAAGCCACTAGTACGCGCAGCGTTTCGGGCAGGTCAAAATGTATAAATGATTATCCATCTGAATTTATCTACCCAAAGGCCAATGTATTGTCTAAAGAAATGTGGATTAATTTCTTACACAAATCTTCAACGTTGCATTTCATTAACAAAGGTCTCAAAATCACATTTTTATCCCTTAAAGCCTTACAAACAATACTTTCCTAACAACTTACCGAACATACACTAGCAGACGATACACTCGTTATTCAATTTCAATATTTTACACTATTATACCTGCAATTTAATAAGAAGATGGTGGCGCTCTGAACCCCGGGAAGACTTCTTTGTGATACTCTAGCTACGTTTCCGAAGATGTAAATACAATAGTCTGTTTTTAGGCACTAAGCTTCTTAACCAAAAATTTACGTTTTCTTTGATGGTTAAAGGCCTTACTCCTCTATATTGTTAAAATGTTTTGCAGTACAGTATTAGAAACTAATTTGTTTACGTTTTCGTGGCCCGATCAAAAATATAAATTAGTTTATTATTTATTTATCTTTTAGCAGACAAATGTAAACTACTAAAATCTAAATAAAAAAGCACTTATTTGATAAAGCATTGTTCCTCTACAGAAACTTGTAGCGTTCACATAAAAGAACATGCCAACTAAAGTAAGTAATTATCAAAAGAAGGCACCAAACCAGGAAGGCTATGTAGCACCAGTCAACTACTTAAATCATCCAATTTTTTTCCTATTGGACTAACAAACCACTGTTCTGGTTGTTTTAATATATATTACTTTTGTTAAACTTTGTTGCTCACTTTGTTACCCATGTTAATATTACCTCATCTTTTGAGGTAATGAGTGGCCTATAGATGAGTGCGACCTACAGTATCTCCTCACAATTTTACCTTTATAAGCAGCCAGCCATATTTATGCTACATTTAATAAAGCCTTCAGAACTTGAATGTTATCTTCAATAATAACTGCTCAATTTCTTGCTGTTAAGTCATTGTCAACACTTTGTTCTCTGTACAACCATCTTCATAATTTGAAGAAATAGTTAAAAGTAGGAAAGATGATATAATGTTGTCAGTGTCAGAGAAGCTACATTACCTAATACATAAAGCCTTACCTCATTTTGCACTCAATTTCAACAAATGAGTACATGCAATGCTTAAAAATAGGTAATCCTCAAATATAAATAGGATATTCTTTGGTAGAAGGGAACAGCTGTGTGATATCTTCTATCCATCTACACAAGATTTTGATGCATTAATGTTCCTTTCAAAGTTAAAATAATGATACCATTTATGAGTGCATATGTTCAAAAGGGTCAAATTCATTAATGGATCAAATTTAGGCCTTTATTGTAAAACAAAAATAATATTTATAGTAAATTTATTAAGAATACATTATCATGAGACAAAAGGAAGAGCTGTGCAGAGAATTTGGAATCCATCTTCACATGAGATTTTGATGCACTAGTGTTCCTTCACGAGTTAAAAAAGTAATGATGATTCCTTCGATGGGTTCTGAACTGCGCAACATCAATTTTTTCATCCCCATCTTGAAATCATGCTTGAGGTCTCGGTCCACACCACGGGTAGATATCGTTCTTTGTTGCCTAGAAGATAATTTATGCAAAATAGTCAGTTTGAACTGAAATGCTGATTAACTTTTGAAGATTTTATAATAGGTTCCAATTTACTCATCTAGTGGTACATCTGTGGCCATTGTACCTAATTTAATGTCTATAAGAGATAACTGTAATAAACCACTTTAAATACTATAAAGGTGAGCTCTCAGCTATGTGCCAAGATAGGTTGTCACTCATTGCAACACATACACATACGCAATTTTTAGCAGTTGTTTAATTTTGCTTTCATTCACTCTTCACCACATTTAGATACATTTTATTTCATATGGAAACATGTTTTATAGACTTAATTCTCTATGTAACTTGAACCTGATACATTCCCATATTTTGTTCCTCTACCTCATTCATTTAAAAATATTTTACCTCTTAAAGTTTCATTGTACAGTAATTTAATATTACATGGGCAAGGTAAAGTTATATTTAAAACCATAAAGTCCATGTGAGATGCAATTTGTTCTATGCTTTCATATCTGCTACATAGTATTCCCCCCTTACTGTGACATATCTGCCTTATAATACATCTTACGGACATATCTGCTGTATAGTACCCCACTCTGACATCAGTCCCATTCAAACTTACTTGTTGTTGTGATTTATGGGTATAATGTCCATCTGTAAATTTCCACCTTCTTTGGTAGCCAGGAACATAAATTCCTCCAAGATATCTGGTGTGGTGATGTAGCTGTAGAAAAGAGGGTAGGAAAAGCCTCCTTGTTTCCTAATGATTGTCAAAATTTCTTCAAAAGTGCTCATGTACTTAGGCCACTCATACTGTAAATGGAAAAAAATATATAACATTAGTAGGAACACAGTGCGTACACTTTATATGTGATTATCTTGTAACAATAACAGCTGCTTCAAATACAGGTAACTTGGCTTCAGATTATGGCGTAGAATAATATTACACCATATCTTGAGGTTATCTTGTTATCTATATGTTTTGGTTTGACAATAATCTACTTATTGCCTTGTGATACCCACAATCTTCACTATATGTATAGAATTATGAACACTCTGCATATGTTTATACTTGTGAAACTCCTTTAAAAATGGCTTGTATAGCTACTTGGCTGGATATCGGAACTTCAAGTATCGGCTACTTAGCAAGAGTAATACAGTACAAGCCTCTGATGTATTATGGCTAATATCTTCATGTATATTGCATCAACAGATAATGTAGATGCTGGCATCATTTTAATTGTTTTCCAACCATTGAATATTTACATTTTCTGTTCAACTTCAAATAAAAATAACTTTCACAACAGGCTACCTTACTCAAGGCGATTGCTAGTGTTGTCCTGTGATGTACATTTATACACAAATTTCTTCTGAAGGCAAGAATATACTGTAAAGGTACACATAAGCACCCAAAACCTCTTTTCTTTATTAAGTTTTATGATGGCAGCTGAAATATGAAATTGTTCCAACCTTAACTAATGTACAAAGGTCTTCTGAGAGTAAATTAAGAATCAAATTTTAACTAGCAAACTTACATTAAAGTGTTTCATTAATCCCCCCTGATTGTGTGTTTTTACCTGTAAAAGTGTAATCAGATGACCAATGCATAAATCATCCATGTGTCTGTCCACAATTATTCGTTGCCTGAGAGCATGTATGAGAAGAGTTGTAGCAAACTGAAGGCATTGAGGACGAGTGAGTGCCAACACATGAAGATGGCGGCGATTAGAAGCAGCAGGAACACACAAATCCCCAGCCAGTCCACCAATACCAACCCAGCCAGGCAGCTGACCTACAACTTCTAGTACTGCTTCAGCTGCACCCTGGACAAGAAAATGTGGAGTCAGAGAAGAAAAGAATTTATCACTACTGTTTGAATATGCAATATTTAGTCAACTCTGTCACATCCAGACATTAAGTGTCTTGAACCTTTTGGTAACTAATTTGGTCTCGGCTCACCACTAGGGATATCAAGATTAGCCTTTTCTACAGGCTAGTCAAAGCAAAGCACTGGCTTGCTTTGCTTAAGCAGTGTTTTCAATTGCCATCAGCATTGGTGCCTATCCTCTGCCTAGTGACTTATTTGAGAATCCTTGCAATTCTTTGAAAATGAACTCCAATACCATAATAAACCTAATAATTATGTGTCAAATGCTAAAGTTAGCAGTAAAGGCAGAAGGAAACATACAGATATATTGTATAATGAGACAAAATAGTGGTGGCAGTTTAAAAACGGAGCCATTGATATGTAAGTTGACACCGTATCATACATAGGTGATAGTACTTTTTTTTCTAAACTAATGATTAATATTCAGTAAAGTTGCATGGATGTATATTTGAATAGGCAAATAAACACATTAATAGAGACAACTTAAGATCCAAGTGTTTACGGCAGCCAAGCCAATTGCCTGAAGCATTTGTCAATTGCATTTCTCAACATTCTTATATCTAGCTCCTAGGTCACAGAGTAACCAGGGGGTATAATTATGTATCTAATGTATGTTATTAAGTCTCGTATGTATACGGAACAGCTAAAATATGTACTCACTGATAAATTATTTAGGGCATAAAGGACAGATGCTAATTTTAGGTTAGTGCTAATGAAAGTTGTGGGGAGTGTATGAGCACGATGACTGAGTGTGTGTCGCAGCTCCCGAGCAGCCTCGGCAAGCCTTCCTTGGTATATCAGGACATCCACTGTAAACACTCTCAGCCACCACCAGCGATCAGTGCCAAGACTTTCCAACAGCCTCACAAATTCTGTCAAGAATATCAACAATTAATTCTGCTGTGATAATTATCTAAGGATTAGAAGCAAAGAGAGCTATGAACAATACATTAAATTAGAACAAAAATGTATTACAAAACTGATTTGTATTTTTTGAAGCTCTTGGTCCAATAAAAGAATTTTTTCAAGCTGTCCCTTCACAGTCATATAAGGTGCTAAAAAGACATGGGAGAAAGTGTCAATTCAGCCAATTATAACAGTGGGTCTGTTCATAAAATCAAACCTTACAGGGACTCGCCTGACATCCCAGGGTAACCACAAAAACAGAACTTTTTTTTTTTAACATTCGATAATCTTGTTTATTTACCTTTGATGAACTCGAAAAGACAGCAGCACCACACCCAACCCCATACTAGCACTAATGAACTGCTAATAAGTATTATGATGCCAAAAGACATGTGCAATAAAGGTGCTACAGAAAAGTATAAATGGTCTGAAAAATATGGTAATAAAGAGAACATATTTGAGCAATTCAGAGAAATGAACTAACCTGCACGCAACTGTTCATATGAGTTAAGAAGGTCCCAGCATTTAATGGCAGTTGTTAGTGCCTGCGAGAGTCCACCAGCTGCAATGCCTCCAGGTGTATTGACAGACATCCCCACCACAGCTCCACTGACTGGTGCAGCAACCTGACCAGCAACAGTAGGTCGGCTTACTGTAATAATGGGAATGGTAGGATCCTCATCCAAGGAAGGTCGGGAACGTTTAGGAGGTACAATGACCGACTCTTCACGTTCACACTCGGGAAAGATAAACGCTTCCACTAAAGTCAGAGGTGTACTTGTTGATGTGCTGTTTTCTGTTGAAAATAAAATATGGTAACAAAGAATCACTCACATAAATACATACAGTACATGATTAAATAATTATAATTCCCATTGTCAGGGACAGGAAGCCTGTATTTAGACTTGTACTGAGGTCCCCACTTAGGGCGAAGTACTGACCTTCCCCAAGAGGGAACCACTATAGTGCCCTCTTGGGTATCTAGTTACTGCTAGATGATCAGAGGTATCAGATGAAAGGAAATGTGCCCAACAATTTCTGCCCCATCAGGGGAATGAACTCGGGTACCTAGGTTATGAGTCAAGAACTTGGTTTTATTAGCATAATGATACTGAAATGGTGAAGCACTAGCTTCATTTCCTTATCATTTCCATTATGGAAGCACTCACTAGTATCCTCAATACAAAGGTAAGATATCTAACCCATTAATCCTATCTCCACTGATAAAACACTAAACCACTACTAAAGTGCAATTTTAATCATAAATTACTAATTCTGTTACATACTCTTATCTCCTCCTTTCTTGACTGAAAAATAAAAGGCTTCTGTCTCAAAAAAAGCACTAGGTTTACTAATCACAACACATAATCCTATATGCATACCACCAGGGTTTCTGGCAATGTGCATTCCTTTACTGGGCAATCACTGGCTTCATTGACAATACTGCACCACTTGCCCAAATTCTACAACAGCAACCACAACCATAACAACAACCCCAACAAAACCCCTCAACAACAATAATAATTCAGAATCACCATAACAATTATTTCATAACATAAACAGTCGTCTAGTGGAAGTTTCCACTCTGCAACAACATTTGACAAGGTTCAAAGCCCACGAGACTATTTTCACAACAATATAAACTTACCTTGATTAAAATCTGGATACAGACGCTTGGTGTAATCCATGAGAGCATGAAGAAAGACAGTGAGTGTCGTGTAGAGAACCTCACGCACATCCTCACCTCCCTCACCCTTAGGCCCTCCTAACCGAGCACCTCCTTCTACCAGACTCTGGATTCTTTGTAGGATAACTTCCCTGTTACTGCAAAAGACAAGACTGCAGTAAGACTCACATTTATTTCATGACCAGTTAACAGTGTAAACAAAGAATTTTTGGCAGATGAAAAACTAAATTGTATACTATTCCTATGAAGATAAATTAATAATGATAAACATTTATATGTATAGATATATATGGGTGGATGTTTTGGTTGGTATATATCCTGATGCATGAAGTGATAAATAAGGGGGATAGGAATGACTCCATTAAATAAGAATTACTAACAATTTGAAAAACATTGAGTTAATTTGTATAAATTCAATCAATCATAAAGCTAATTATTACTATTACTGAATCATGGTGATTAGCTTCATAGACCGATCTTAATATGTATATGCATATATGAAAATACAACATAATATCCTGGATAAACATGTACAGACAGCCTCACTTTGTTTTCAAACACAGACTGTATCTCATGGCTCACACATGTATGCCTTTTTGGCCGTTTTAATGCTGTGTTCATTTTACTACCTGCCAATATGAGTTATGTGTACAAACAAGTATTAAGGACTGCATGTGTAGTGATTATTTATTTGTTATGATAAAGAGACTGTTGAAGTTGTGTGGACAAAAGTAATGTTATGGTCATAGAGAGAGAGAGAGAGAGAGAGAGAGACGGAAATTCTGAATGAAATAAATGTGAATTGAGAAATGCTGGGACCTTTGGCACTCCATAAATATTATAATCCTCATACTCCTAGAAAAATAGCCAGCTAATCTGTACTGCTTTATGGTCCTGAAATTGGGTTGGTTGGTTGTATTAGATGGTATTTACATTTTTTAATACCATACAAAACTCTACATACCTGGTATTCTGGAACCCTGATGCCAAGTCCCACCCAAGATTCCATCCAATTAACTGGACAACAATGAAGAGCTGTTGCCAAGGGTCATCAATCTTTCCATCGCCATCAAGGACACCCTGCAACACGTCACACATTGAAGCCTATCCCTAATCCATTTTAAAATGTCATCACTATGAGCAAATTGTATTTTCATTGGCAGAACATGCAAGCTAGATTAATTCTTAAAACACTTGGGACGGAGTTTAGTACGAGAGAAATGAATATATTTCGCCAGGTTGAAAGATAAAAAGAGATGCTCATAATTGTGATCAAGCTATTCTATTTACAACTAAATCTCTCATGTGGTATATGCCAATTTACTCACTTCACAGGATAATTTTTAATAATAATTTGTTTTGTCAGGAACAGAAAGCTTGTTTATATCACTATATGTGTTTACAAGGATTGCAAGTTTGGAATGCGAGGGGATGAAAGAGGGGGAGGATGGGGGGGAAGGAAATGGGAAAAGGGAGGGGATAGGTGAGGTTAGGGGAAAAAGGGGTGGGGGGGGAAAGATGTAGAGGGGGGGGGAGGGATAAAGACAAGACAGAAGATAGGAGTAAAGTTAGGGAAAGAAGGGGGGAAGATATTTTCTGGGGATGCAGTTTTGATCCCATTGTTAGGCTTCAATATTGTCAAGAAATATTTTGTCCTAACTGCATAATGAGAAATGTCTTCTGAACTAAATATAGCACCATTATATATAAATCAGGTATATAATACACATTACTTTTTAACACACCTGCATCACTTTGGGTGGAGTGGTAACATATGCCACATAAAACTCTATTGCCCTAGAGAGAAGACTATAGAGTGTCTTAGGCCGCACCTCCAACCCGCGAGTTTGTAGCAGTCTTGGCAACAGATCACACACTGCAAGATCGAGAGGAGTGTATTTTGTTACAAATGATCACGTAAACAAATACAAATATTATAAATAACATCAAATTTAAAACTATATTATTAATCTGAAGTTGAGATAGTCAACTTCCTGAGATAAGGACCCACTTATTATAAACCAGAAACAGCAAACTCTTTCAATAATGGTTAGACTGTATAACCTTTGTGCTGTCAATGTGTACTTCCCATGTGTCCTGAGATGGACTTTTTTTTGGTATTTCCATGTAATATATTTTAAGTAGTGTACTTTTCATTCATAGCAGGTTAAACCATGAAGAGGAAGCTGGTCTTTGAGATATGCAAACTAAAAAATTAAACAATAGCCACTCACTAATGTCCTTAATGATCCAAGGTTACCAAACTTTTGGCCAAATGGTTAGAAGGTCCTAGCATCTGCTACAACTAGTTACCGTGACAAATGGGAAACAGTAATATGGAACAGCCATATACTGTAGGTGTATTCTTAGTGAGGATGCATGCATGAAAGACCCTAATAAGAGTCTCCAACCTCTTACCTGTTAGCTTAATGCCCAGGATCTCAATTGCCACCTTTAAATCTAGTCTGCAAATAAGAAATAAGCCTGCAAATTGTCATCCTTAAACAAATAATTCCACTACCTACTTGCCACGAAGTTCCATGCACTTGAAATTGTAGCCAGGAGCCCGACAGAAAAACAGGTTCTAGACTTTGTGGATAGGGTTTAGAAATCAAAACCATATTATATAAATAGAAATGCTCCAAATCTTGTCTAGCCTGAGGAATGAGAAGCCAGGAATTCTGAGAGAACAAATGTACAGGTTCCTCGTCATCACCTGAAGAGACAATAAAGCACACCCAAGGAATGACACAAGACTTGGCCATTCCAAATTGTATTGCAAGGTACAGAAACTACCATACTCACAGAGCGCCTATTCCTGTCTAGTAATAGGTTTTGCATGTGTTTCCCCCTGCTATTAGCTTGGCAATGCTTTGTAATGTATTTTTTAGAACACAACATAAAAGACTTACCAAGCATCCGTCTGAATGGATTGAGGGGTCCAGGGCAATGCTTCTCAGCAGCAAGCAAATTCTCCACTAATTGTAACTGTAAAATAATATTAAGATGACTCTCAGACCATATATTTTTAAACACCTTAAGAAACTTTTAAAATACATAATAAGTGATGAGAAGTGTGCTTTGACATAATCTAAGTAACAAGCCTCCCAAAACATTTGCAGAAGAACAGTGCATTAATCTGACCAATAAACAAGTGGTGGACAGGCCAGAAAAGATTTGCTGTAATATGGAGGAAGGAAAATACACCCTTTCTTGCATACAGGGGTCTATTTCTTAGCCAGTTCATATTCTCTATGTACTACAACATTATTTTAATGATTATTATTTTCCCATTCATTGTCATCAGGAATGCATTCAAAATTTTACCAATTCTGTGCTTAATAATAAACTGTATTAACCATATCATGACAGCAACATCAATCACAGAATTTAGCTTAACCTTTCAGCACCTATCCAAAAACCTGAAATAATATACCAAATGTGAAAGATGCTCACCCCGTGGTGTGCAGTGGTCTCAGGGAAGGTAGTAGTCAAGAGAAGCATGAGGCGACATCGAGTCATCGTATCCTGTGAACGTTCTGCAGCTGACAACACCATTCCAAGCTGAACATCTGTAAAATTAGGAGAAATTTTATTCTAAAATTATAAATACTAGGGTAATAGTAATTACTTTACAGTAATACAAATAAAAGTTATAAGATATGAGCAGATAATGAACACATTTTACATTTACTTACAATTGCATCAGCTTATGCTGATGTAATATTGGAAAACACAGTTCATGAGATACAGAATACAGTTATTTACTTTTACTTTAGGGTTTGAAATGTAAATTTGACTTGAGGTTATGTTTATTCCTCGGTCTTTCTACTTTACTAATGCAGAAATTTGGCTTCCCTTTAATCTGTACAGTTGTACAGAAGCTCAATTGTCAATTTCTCAGGCCACACCTGGACAATTAGTTCACTTTGCAATATGTCATAGTACCACTCTGTTTTTATTCCCCTCAATTTTACATTATTAGTAAGATAACTGAAAGTTAGTTTCAACAAAATAAAATATGACTAATGATAAGAGAGACTTGTTATCGATGAAATGAAAAACCTGTTCAGAATAATTTCATTTTTACTAAATACTCTACATTGTTCATATTTATTCACCCACTACAAATTGATTGAAAGAATATACAGCACTTTCAATGCAATATTGTACTGCAAGTTTCTAAATGCTTCTGAAGGTCTCATTGACAACTGGGGTATAAAAAGACTCAACACAAGCTACCTCAGAGTGAAAAAATATATACACAGAGTTGTTGGGGGTGAGTGTGACTTGTAGTATTAAATATTATCTAGGTTAGGTTAGTAGGATTATAGCCTTGATTGTTTTCATTGACCATATGGTTTTACTATATACATGTTGATACCTGGAATGTATGCTGGTGAGCATGGCTGTTTTGTGAGAATAAACATGTCCAAACATGTTTTCTCATGCAGACGATAAGTCACAATAATGTGGGTGGATGTATAGTGGCCAAACCACACATCAGAATATGAAGAAACGATGACATTTCAGTCTGTCCTGGACCATTATCAAATCGTGTAATATAAGAGAGGAAAAGGACAGGCAAATAAATAAGGTAAGAGAGTGAGATGAAACTGAGGAACAGGTTAGAGAAAAAAGTAAGAATAAAATGAAGGGTAAGAATAGGGGGTACGAATAAGAGACAGGAATCAAAGCTTAAGTCAGATCATGTTTGTTAAAAAGCTTAGAGCATTTAAGAATGTACTGTGAAAGGAAAGAGTCAACAGCAACAAGGCCAGGACTAAGGCTCATGTTGGGCATGTTGTGAATCAGAGCCTATTTGACAATACGGCATCTGTGAAGAGTTGAGGTACGAAATATAATTTTACAAGAAGACCAAGTTATATGATGATTAGGGTCCCTAACATGACAGAATGAGCATTGTTTGTCTGCAGGTGTTTTCTCATTTCACCCTATACTTAACAGAGTTGTAGCTGAAAATCTTACCTTTAGGTAGCATATTGAAGAGATAAGTGAGGAATGAATTCTGAGAGTCTGGAGCGCTCTGGCGTAGAGCTGACGTGATGGTATCGACTTCTCGCCAAAGCACCGGTTCTGGGGCAAACTCTCTTAACCTGATCAGTGAAAACAACATTCATCACAGACATTAACTAACACACTCATGTACAACCATTACTCACATACAACGAAATATACAAAAACAGACAGAAGTACTGTAGGTCATATAAGCCCTGCACTGTAAATGTTAAAGGTGACCTTATGCAAGCATCTCATTTTAACATTTAGCTTGAGTAAGTGTGCTTCAACAGCAGCTAGTTGAAGTAAGCACTTCCAGTTCCTATATAAGTTATAACCATAATGAACAAGCAATATATTAAAATAATTAAAAAATTAGATTATCTTATCCCATCTACATATCTATCTATATATATATATCAATATTAAAATATGGATTCCTGGATCTGGCCAAATGCGGCACATATGTGCGTTTGAACACTTCAAGATCCACTAGATCAAGACCTGCTGAATACTAAGTAAAGAAGCAATCTTAAACAAAGTGAAGTTATAATATTCTACAGTTACTTACAATACACCAAGGCATTTTGCTGCCTCCTTCACATTCTTAGCAGCCTTCTCAATCTGGTACACTTCGAACTGTAAACACAAAACAACAAAAATAATCATAAAATAGAAATATCAAATTTATAGTGATTCAACATGGAGGATGTTGTGAAGTAATTCATGCAATGGGGAGACACTTAACTAGCCAATTATGAGATTACTCATGAAATATGAGATCATTTAGATTAACAAAACACCTGATCTGTAAGCTGGTTTCGGTTTTGCCCGAAACACTTGTGCTTATTAGTGGCTTTAGGCATACTGTAGTACGTATTAGCTCTATCTAGAAATCCAACATTATGTTTATAACTCAATTTGAATGTATGAACTTTTCCCCAAATAAACATTATCTGGTAAGTGAATGTATACAGAATGTATAAAGCTACTAGGTAGGCTACAATTGTAAGAATGCAATTTACACCCTTATGAAATCTTCGCTAAGGTAAATATGGCCTTTTTATGTCAATGGTTCACCAGCCCTGGACTCCAGGGAACTTTAACTTTGCTTCCTGTTGTCGACATTGGGAAACGGGGAGCCTTCACTTTGCTTAAAAGACTTCCTGTTATCGACTTTGGGAAACAGGGAGCCTTCACTTTGCTTAAAAGGCTTCCTGTTGCCGACATTGGGAAACAGGAAACACAAGTTTTACCCCCTCACCTGAATCCCAAAATTCTTGGGAAAGAGAGCTTGGGCTGTTATCATCCAACATTTCGCTGCACATGGATCTTTCTTCTGCTGTTCTTTGGCACGGAATATGAGATACTCTTCGTCAGAGAGATGGCTGAGCTCTTCGTCCGGAGACATTACGAAATAAAGTTCAGTGATGTGATACACATAATCTGGGCTTCATAGGACCTACGGTCGCCGGAACGTAAACAACACATCCCAGAGGCCACAACCTCAACCCAACGCACAAAACGCTGGGAGACCGCGAAGGTCTGCTTGAATATGTATTTATATACATGTATGTATGTATGTATACATGTATGTATGTATGTATGTATGTATGTATGTATGTATGTATGTATGTATGTATGTATGTATGTATGTATGTATGTATGTATGTATGTATGTATGTATGTATGTATGTATGTATGTATGTATGTATGTATGTATGTATGTACGTACGTACGTACGTACGTACGTATGTATGTATGTATGTATGTATGTATGTATGTATGTATGTATGTATGTATGTATGTATGTATGTATGTATGTATATATGTACTCACCAGATGTATGTATGTATGTATGTATGTATGTATGTATGTATGTATGTATGTATGTATGTATGTATGTATGTATGTATGTATGTATGTATGTATGTATGTTATTAAATATGACCGAAAAAGTAAGTTTAATAATTCTAACACGAATTTTCTCAATATTTCTTATGTTTCTTTTCACTGTCGATGGTAATTGAAAAATCAATTCTCCAAAATTCATTTTTATTTCTAGTCTGACGCGACACTTGAACGCGTTTCTTAATAACTTATTACATTTTCAAAGATTTTAGTTTACACACACACACACAACTATAACCTGCAAACACTAAACAGAGTTCTACTATGCTATCATTTAAACAGCTTTCATCTTATATACCCGCATTTGGGTGAGGTGATATGTTACAACAGTTTTGGATGATGTGAACAAAACTTTCAACACAAGATATAGCAAACTTTCAACACAAGACAGAACACGAAACAATGGGTATAAATTGGGTAAATTAAAGGGAAGAATGGAAGTAACTGCAAAGGGCCTATTGGCCCATATTTCTTGATGCTTCTATATTGGTGCGGAGTATTGAAGTGGGTAGAATATAGTTGTGCATACATACATGTATGTATGTATGTATGTATGTATGTATGTATGTATGTACTCACCTATTTGTGCTTGCGGGGGTTGAGCTTTGGCTCTTTGGCCCCGCCTCTCAACTGTATGTATGTATGTCTATATACTTTTTTTTTTTTTTTTTTTTTTTGAGATATATACAAGAGTTGTTACATTCTTGTACAGCCACTAGTACGCGTAGCGTTTCGGGCAGGTCCCTGGAATACGATCCCCTGCCGCGAAGAATCGTTTTTTCATCCAAGTACACATTTTACTGTTGCGTTAAACAGAGGCTACAGTTAAGGAATTGCGCCCAGTAAATCCTCCCCGGCCAGGATACGAACCCATGACATAGCGCTCGCGGAACGCCAGGCGAGTGTCTTACCACTACACCACGGAGACTATTATCTACCACTACAAGACTATTGTCTTACCACTACACCACGGAGACTACAGTCTCCGTGGTGTAGTGGTAAGACACTCGCCTGGCGTTCCGCGAGCGCTATGTCAGGGGTTCGTATCCTGGCCGGGGAGGATTTACTGGGCGCAATTCCTTAACTGTAGCCTCTGTTTAACGCAACAGTAAAATGTGTACTTGGATGAAAAAACGATTCTTCGCGGCAGGGGATCGTATTCCAGGGACCATAGGATTAAGGTCTTGCCCGAAACGCTACGCGTACTAGTGGCTGTACAAGAATGTAACAACTCTTGTATATATCTCAAAAAAAAAAAAAAAAAAAAAATTATGTATGTACTTGTATGTATGTACTTTATTCAGATAAAGTACATACATACAAGGTGTGATACAAACATTGATGGATTTATAGACAGAGCTAGTACATACAATCCCTAAAGCCACTATTACGCAAAGCGTTTCGGGCAGAATTAAAATCTGGCATAATTAAAATCTGGCATATATAGCGTATCTGGCATAATTAAAATATTAACTTAAATAATTAATTTGTTAGACAATATATGATATTCAGATCTATAAATTACTTTAGAAAGGCCTATAATGCTTATATAAATATTAATTTACACACTCCTGGCGCTATACGCTAGGAATTTCAACATGGCGTTCAAATAATTTTAGGCAGAGGGTCTCTGGGTAGTTTGGTTGCTTACGGCTCATAATGGGTTAACAATTAGGATAATTATATTCAATTAAAAAGCCAGCTATGTATGTCGCTACTTACTACTTTTTCGGCAACAGTTAAAATAAGCTGGGCTGTTTATTCTGAAAAGCGAATCAATCGGAAAACAAAATATTTGGCTCGTTTTATTGTAAAATTTGTAACATTTAGTTCTTCTGCTCGCGACTTTCGGCAACTCAAATCTGATACCCCAGCAGTTATGATTGACCACGACCCTGTCAGTCATCAGGAAGCAGCGGCGTGAGCGACATCGTACCCTTGTAGGTAAGGCTGATAATTTTTTTTTCTTTTTTTTTTATAACTATCTGAGCAGTTGGGAGGTAGGCTTGAATATATAATAAACCTCCACGTACAATACTTAAAACATTATACATTTGTTCGCTATTATAACATTGAGTTTTTAATAATAATAATATTTTATTTAGGAAAAGTACATACATAGATGCAGTTAAAAACATTGATTAATTTATAGATAGAGCTAGTACTTACAATACCTAAAGCCACTAGTATGCATAGCGTTTCGGGCAAAGCGATATATATCAAAGCGATATTCGGGGTTAGCGTGTTTTGTAATGTCTCCGAGGGTCATTGTTTCCGTATTGTTTTTTTCATCCGGGTTCTGTAGCATTCAAATGTTTGTATTCCACTAATGCTAAATAGTCTGTCCCCTCTCGGATATTGTGGAAGATTTTGAGGATCATGATTTGCCAACATTATATGGGTAGGATATTATGTAGAATACACTTCCCCATAGTGTTAAACCACTACGTCATCAGACTAGGCTCGTTAACGCGGCGGTCGACCCCCCCCCCCCTCCCCCCCTTCCCCCCCCCTCCCAAGACGCATTTATTATCGACTTTCATGTACTGTGTATTATAAATAGTTTTTATCGTGTATAAATTAATTTTATATTGTATGTTTAATTAGACGTATAGTAGGTTCGGTATTTAGGTTCTGTTGGCAATTATTTGCACTTGAAGTATGTGGAGGGTTAAGCATTTACAGTTGCCTGTCCTCAGGCCAGGCTCGCCTACGCGGCCGCCCGACCCAAAACCGCATTCGTCAATTTTTTTCTTCCTCGCGGAACGCCAGGCGAGTGTCTTACCACTACACCACGGAGACTGGTTTATTGCATTGCCTATGGAGAATTATTCTCGCGTATAAGGTAATAATATTTCATCAAGTTATTTGTTTAAAAACTAAGTTTAGTGACAAGCGACAGTCCTGTGTACACTGCAATAGATGAATCCAACGGGAAGGCGCGGGGACACCCCTCCAGGAACTGAATTTACCTGAGGGCCACTAACACTAGTGGCCTCGATGAGGACAGAAAGCCGCCGGCTTGTTAAAGATCCCCCCATTTGCCCTGATCTTTTCCAGCTGTATTTTAAAACGCAGAATAGTTTCGGCGTTTACGGTTTCGGCGGGTATGCGGTTCCACGGGTTTACAACCCTATGGGTAAAAAAGCATCTGTTTCCTGTCCAACATTCTGGCTTGTTGAGTTTGAACTCGTTGCTCCTTGTTCGTGTAACATCTGACCTTTTGAAGACATTATCCTGATCGACATCCTCCAAATTGTTTAGTATTTTAAAGGTTTCTATGAAGTCCGCCCTGTCATGCCTGGTTTACAGTGTTAGCCCTGTGGCCCTCAACCGTTCCTGATACGAGAGATGACTAAGCTCTGGTATGATTTTTGTCGTAAGACATGGCTCCATAGCTCTGGTAAGACATGGCTCCAGAGCAGCTATGTCTTTCTGAAGATGAGGTCTCCATGCCTGGATGCAATAATTCATGTGGGGGCGCACCAGAAACTTGTACAATTGAAGGTCTTTCTTTTCCTTGAAGGTAAAGGCAAGCATGATTATTCCCAGGGTTTCGTTTGCTTTTTTACTTCCGCTCCCACTTGTTGTACAACTGTCAGTGATTGGTGGATTCTGACTCCAAGATAATGTTAATTTGGTAGTTGAGTTCTGTACTGTTATGCCCCACGTAATGAATTCTGACTCCAAGATCCTTTTCTTCATCTATCTGTTGAAAGGTAGTGCTGTCAATTTGGTAGTTGTGACGGGGACTGTTATGCCCCACATGCAAGGTCTTTGTCGACATTAAAAAGTCATCTGGCCATTTGTGGAGTTCATGTAGATTTCTTTGCAAGGTTTCAATATGGCTTTCACCTCCCACTTTACCATAGATCTTAGTGTCATCTGCAAATTTGATTTGGTTTGTAATATTCTCATGAATGTCGTTGATGTATATGACAAAAAGGGTTGGTCCCAAAATGGACTCTTTGACACCCACTAAGCACATTGTTGGGGGTTGGATGAGACATTTGCTTGTTAGGCTTGCGATTACACAACTGGTCGAGCTCCGGGGGTGTGAATTGTTGGGCTTCTAGTTGTTCATGGTCGGGCTCCGGTTCGTGCATGGTTGTGCACCAATAGTTAATTGTGTACTAGTGCTCCAGGTTTGTTTGCTAGGCGTCTATGGTTGTATGTTTGCTAGAAATCCGGGTTTCTTTCTTCATACATAGCTCAATTTTCTGTTTGCTATGGCTCCATATTTGGTTTCTAGGGCAAGTGGGGGGTTTTAGGTAGGGCTGAGGAGATTTTTATTTGGTCGAGCTAGGAATTGAGTTTGGTTGGGCTCTGGGGCTGTTTAGCTTGGTGGGGTTTGGATGAAATGTATACTTGCTAGGCTTATGGTTACACAACTGGTCGGGGTCCGGTTACACAACTGGTCGGACTTCGGTTACACAACTGGTCGGGCTCCGGGTATATAACTGGTCGGGCTCCGGTTACACAACTGGCGGGCTCCGGTTACATAACTGGTCGGGCTCCGGATGTGTCACTTGGGTTTCGGGTTGTGCATGGTCGGGCTTCGGTTCGTGCATTGTTGTGCTTCAGATGTTGTTTGTTTGATGTTTTTTTTTGAGGTGTTTGTTTGGTTCGTTCATGCTAGGCTTGCGATTACATAACTGGTCGAGCTTCGGGGGTGTGAATTGTTAGGCTTCTAGTTGTTCATGGTCGGGCTCCGGTTCGTGCATGGTTGTGCACCAATAGTTAATTGTGTACTAGTGCTCCAGGTTTGTTTGCTAGGCCTCCATGGTTGTATGTTTGCTAGAAATCCGGGTTTCTTTCTTCATACATAGCTCAATTTTCTGTTTGCTATGGCTCCATATTTGGTTTCTAGGGCAAGTGGAGGGTTTTAGGTAGGGCTGAGGTGATTTTTATTTGGTCAAGCTAGGAATGGAGTTTGGTTGGGCTCTGGGGCTGTTTAGCTAGGTGGGGTTTGAATGAAATTTATACTTGCTAGGCTTATGGTTACACAACTGGTCGGGGTCCGGTTACACAACTGGTCGGGGTCCGGTTACACAACTGGTCGGGCTCCGGGTATATAACTGGTCGGGCTCCGGTTACACAACTGGTGGGCTCCGGTTACATAACTGGTCGGGCTCCGGGTGTGTCACTTGGGTTTCGGGTTGTGCATGGTCGGGCTTCGGTTCGTGCATGGTTGTGCTTCAGATGTTGTTTGTTTGTTTAATGTTGTTTTGAAGGGTTTGTTTGGTTCGTTCATGCTAGGCTTGCGGTTACACAACTGGTCGGGCTCAAGGTTACATAACTCCGGGGGTGTGATTTGTTGGGCTTTGGGTTGTGCATGGTCTGGCTCCTGTTCGTGCATGGGTGTGCTCCAGGAGTCATTTGTGTACCAGTGCTCCAGGTTTGTTTGCTAGGGCTCTATGGTTATGTTTGCTAGAAATCTGGGTTTCTTTTTTCATGCATAGTTCAATTTTTTGTTTGCTATGGCTCCATATTTGGTTTCTAGGGCAAGTGGAGGGATTTAGGTAGGGCTGAGGAGATTTTTATTTGGTCGAGCTAGGAATGGAGTTTGGTTGGGCTCTGGGGCTGTTTAGCTAGGTGGGGTTTGGATGAAATGTATACTTGCTAGGCTTATGGTTACACAACTGGTCGGGGTCCGGTTACACAACTGGTCGGACTTCGGTTACACAACTGGTCGGGCTCCGGGTATATAACTGGTCGGGCTCCGGTTACACAACTGGCGGGCTCCGGTTACATAACTGGTCGGGCTCCGGAGGTGTCACTTGGGTTTCGGGTTGTGCATGATCGGGCTTCGGTTCGTGCATGGTTGTGCTTCAGATGTTGTTTGTTTGTTTGATGTTTTTTTGAGGTGATTGTTTGGTTCGTTCATGCTAGGCTTGCGATTACACAACTGGTCGAGCTCCGGGGGTGTGAATTGTTGGGCTTCTAGTTGTTCATGGTCGGGCTCCAGTTCGTGCATGGTTGTGCACCAATAGTTAATTGTGTACTAGTGCTCCAGGTTTGTTTGCTAGGCCTCCATGGTTGTATGTTTGCTAGAAATCTGGGTTTCTTTCTTCATACATAGCTCAATTTTCTGTTTGCTATGGCTCCATATTTGGTTTCTAGGGCAAGTGGAGGGTTTTAGGTAGGGCTGAGGTGATTTTTATTTGGTCAAGCAAGGAATGGAATTTGGTTGGGCTCTGGGGCTGTTTAGCTAGGTGGGGTTTGGATGATATTTATACTTGCTAGGCTTATGGTTACACAACTGGTCGGGGTCCGGTTACACAACTGGTCGGACTTCGGTTACACAACTGGTCGGGCTCCGGGTATATAACTGGTCGGGCTCCGGTTACACAACTGGCGGGCTCCGGTTACATAACTGGTCGGGCTCCGGATGTGTCACTTGGGTTTCGGGTTGTGCATGGTCGGGCTTCGGTTCGTGCTTGGTTGTGCTTCAGATGTTGTTTGTTTGTTTAATGTTGTTTTGAAGGGTTTGTTTGGTTCGTTCATGCTAGGCTTGCGGTTACACAACTGGTCGGGCTCAAGGTTACATAACTCCGGGGGTGTGATTTGTTGGGCTTTGGGTTGTGCATGGTCTGGCTCCTGTTCGTGCATGGGTGTGCTCCAGGAGTCATTTGTGTACCAGTGCTCCAGGTTTGTTTGCTAGGGCTCTATGGTTATGTTTGCTAGAAATCTGGGTTTCTTTTTTCATGCATAGTTCAATTTTTTGTTTGCTATGGCTCCATATTTGGTTTCTAGGGCAAGTGGAGGGATTTAGGTAGGGCTGAGGAGATTTTTATTTGGTCGAGCTAGGAATGGAGTTTGGTTGGGCTCTGGGGCTGTTTAGCTAGGTGGGGTTTGGATGAAATGTATACTTGCTAGGCTTATGGTTACACAACTGGTCGGGGTCCGGTTACACAACTGGTCGGACTTCGGTTACACAACTGGTCGGGCTCCGGGTATATAACTGGTCGGGCTCCGGTTACACAACTGGCGGGCTCCGGTTACATAACTGGTCGGGCTCCGGAGGTGTCACTTGGGTTTCGGGTTGTGCATGATCGGGCTTCGGTTCGTGCATGGTTGTGCTTCAGATGTTGTTTGTTTGTTTGATGTTTTTTTGAGGTGATTGTTTGGTTCGTTCATGCTAGGCTTGCGATTACACAACTGGTCGAGCTCCGGGGGTGTGAATTGTTGGGCTTCTAGTTGTTCATGGTCGGGCTCCAGTTCGTGCATGGTTGTGCACCAATAGTTAATTGTGTACTAGTGCTCCAGGTTTGTTTGCTAGGCCTCCATGGTTGTATGTTTGCTAGAAATCTGGGTTTCTTTCTTCATACATAGCTCAATTTTCTGTTTGCTATGGCTCCATATTTGGTTTCTAGGGCAAGTGGAGGGTTTTAGGTAGGGCTGAGGTGATTTTTATTTGGTCAAGCAAGGAATGGAATTTGGTTGGGCTCTGGGGCTGTTTAGCTAGGTGGGGTTTGGATGATATTTATACTTGCTAGGCTTATGGTTACACAACTGGTCGGGGTCCGGTTACACAACTGGTCGGACTTCGGTTACACAACTGGTCGGGCTCCGGGTATATAACTGGTCGGGCTCCGGTTACACAACTGGCGGGCTCCGGTTACATAACTGGTCGGGCTCCGGATGTGTCACTTGGGTTTCGGGTTGTGCATGGTCGGGCTTCGGTTCGTGCATGGTTGTGCTTCAGATGTTGTTTGTTTGTTTAATGTTGTTTTAAAGTGTTTGTTTGGTTCGTTCATGCTAGGCTTGCGGTTACACAACTGTTCGGGCTCCGGTTACATAACTCCGGCGGTGTGATTTGTTGGGCTTTGGGTTGTGCATGGTCTGGCTTTTGTTTGTGCATTGGTGTGCTTCAGAGGTTTTGTTCGGTTTGTTCATGCTAGGCTTGCAGTTACACAACTGGTCAGGGTCCCGTTACACAACTGGTCGGGCTTCGGGGTGCACAGTAAACTACCACTCACTGGTTGAATAGGGGGATTCCTAATGAACTATCCACCTGTGGTAACAAAAAATCAATGACGTGTGCAACTACGGTCTAGTTGCACAGTTTTAGACCGTCAGCTCGGTACTTTCAGCAATTTGGATTTAGCAAACCTTGGTTGGCCACTTTTCCTTTCACCTAATGCTTTTGTTGTAGGGTAATAGCATTTTAAGCGGGATCAGTAATTTGTACCTCGATATCCTCGATAAAACCTGTATGAATACACTCTGGCTTCCTTTCCCCCGACACTGTGATTTATAGAAATAAATAAATGTATATTGAAAATACAGTTTTTGTGGGAGAAATGGGAACAAAATGTGTGCGCTCCGTGTTGTGTACTAAGCGACCTGTATTCCACGTAAACACTTCCTCGGCCGCCCCTAAATCAACACAACACTTCCTCGGCAGCCTTGCTCCAGCCGTTGGAAACTTCCAGTTTTCCAGGGAACTAAAGCTCTTGTAGAATTCAATGTGTGGATAGGTGGATGCTCATACCTCTCTGCTAAAGGGGGAAAGCCAAGCAGAAGTTTATCCACAAAGTCTTTGAGTAGTAGACGGGGGTTTTCTAAATAGGACTCAGACGATCGGAAGCTTAAATTAGGAGAGGCGAAGTAATATAAAGTGCAATATTTATATTAACAATAAGTGACAAATTCGGGCTGTAACGTGAACCAGAGTGAAAGAGTTGGTCACTTGCAGATTTTGGCAAGTGTTCAAGCAATGCCTTTTAAGGACTATGTCCTGGACTTAGTGGGTGTAGGAGTAAGTGCTGGATTAACGTACACTTTCTACCACTTGGTGCGAGCTGGGAAGGAAGTGGTGTCCCACCTTAAGGTAAGCAGTGCAGTACCTAGTTTAGGGTTTCGTAAAACCCTATATAGATTTGTTTGATCACTACTAGTTAGGTCATGGCCGATTGGTCCAGGGTTAGATTCCAGAGGGCATTACGGAGACGTTTGGGCATGATCCTTACACCTGAAGCTTTTGTTAATCTAGCAGTAAATAGGTACCTTGGTAGTTAGCAGACTATTGTTGGGTGAATCCTGGTGAAGGATGGTCATTGACCAAAGGGGACTTTATAAGTTTAATGGTCTTCTTTCCCAGCAATAGGAAACGTCTGGTAGGTGAAGTAGTTGTATATAAACTAAATCTTTGGTAACTAGTTGTATTTAAAGTCATGGCTTGTTCAGAAGCACTGCCTTTTAAACTGTTATGATCTGTATTTTAAGACAATGACTTACTCTTGTCATTTTTATTGACGTCTCTGTACATATATGTACAGCTTAACCCATTCTTCAATTATCGTTACACTGTATGTGACACTGAAGTATAATCAAATGGTACACAGGCATTTTGACGCAGTTCGTTATCTCATTTTCACAGTCTCCGTGGTGTAGTGGTAAGACACTCGCCTGGCGTTCCGCGAGCACTATGTCATGGGTTCGTATCCTGGCCGGGGAGGATTTACTGGGCGCAATTCCTTAACTGTAGCCTCTGTTTAACGCAACAGTAAAATGTGTACTTGGATGAAAAAAACGATTCTTCGCGGCAGGGGATCGTATTCCAGGGACCTGCCCAAAACGCTACGCATACTAGTGGCTGTACAAGAATGTAACAACTCTTGTATATATCTCAAAAAAACAAACAAACAAAAAACAATAGTTTGTACCATTTCCTTAGGTTAGATTGGGTTGGGTTAGATTTTCATAATTCATTTTGTCAACCATCTTGGGTATGAAGTAACCTATATCCAACTGTATTCCCACATAAAAATAATAAATATTTTGTTTTGACTATTTTACTACCTGCAAAAAAAAAAAAATTTGCTCATTGTGATAATGAAATATACATTAATTTCTTTTCAGGATGCACCGGACTTGGAAATCAATTCCAATCTTATTGGCCAAGTGGCCGAGAGCGGTGGTAGCCTGATCGCCTGTGTGCGAGGAGTTGTAAAAGCATCTGATAATGCGTTAAAGGGTGTTGCTCGGCCTGAAGTGACAGGCGTCATATGGCGCCACACCATCCAAGAGCACCTTGTTGCACAGGTTATGGGTTTATGGTAAGAGATAATGTTGAGAAACAGAGACATCTCGCTTCTCCCTTTAAAATGTTTTGTTATTTCTTCAAGGATTTAAGGGTCTTGCAGTATAGTTGGCTTTGTTCTCAACTACTCAGTAAGGGGGGGGGGGGTCTAGGTTAACTCCATTACACCCATATTATAACCGTTCTGTATTTACATAATTTGTATTAAGCCCGTTGATTTCTTAAGTACATACAGTAAATATAGGAAAATAATTGTTACCCAGAGGATTAATGTATGATGATAACCACACTTTGGGGATTAAAGAAAATTGTGAAGGACTATTCAATAAATATGCTTACCTAAGACAATTATTTTGGTACGAACAAGACTGCTCTGGCCAGAAACTAGTATCGACTTTACTATGCCGTGGTATCCATGTAAATTACTGTACTTCATTAAATAATTTCAGAAGTTAATTTCAAAAGATAATAATCATTCATATATGGAATATAAAGCTAAAGTATTTTCCCTTTAGAATGAACTTGGTTTTTCAGGATGAATGACAAATTGACAGTTGATTCATCGATGAGCTCGGTACCATTCATGCTTATGAACAAAGGGATTGGAGTCCAGGTGTGTATTTTGATTCTTCATTTATATAATATATATATATATATATATATATATATATATATATATATATATATATATATATATATATATATATATATATATATATATATATATAATATATATATATATATATATATATATATATATATATATATATATAATATATATATATATATATATATATATATATAATATAAATATAATATAATACATGTACATTACATTTTTTGCATCATTATACAATACAGTACTTTTCCACACCCCTCAGATACCTTTTGAATAGTACATGATTGTGGAAAACTGGGCATCAATGATGATAGTTCAGTTCTTGTTTTCTTTACCTTTTCCATCCTTTCCAGATTGCAGACCCACAAAAACTAGACGATGTGACATTAACTGTCGTCAGTGAAAAATTTGATGCTGCAACTAATTCTTTGGCTGATCATGTATGGGGATGGATGAAGGGTGTTCGTAGTACTGGCACACAACAGACAGAGGTGCGTTTCATTGTACCTTTACAATAAGAATATTATGTATATTTGTACATTCTGTATAATAATAATGCTTTTGTTTTTTTATGGGGGACAGGAAGCCTGTATATATAATATATATATATATTATAATATATATAATATATAATATATAATTCATTCATTCATTCATTCCCCCGACAGTACAAGTGATTGGGCTTCGTTCCTTCACTCTGTCCTCCTCCAAATCTTTCTCGTAATCTATGTGCTATATTGTCATACTAGCTTAGTGTTTTCTCCTGGTAATTACTATACAGGTACTGTATTGTTTTTGTCTGCAGGAGATGTTGGTGGAAGGAACGAGTGTACTGGGCATTGGGCAACTACTGTTAAAAAATGATAGTCTTCATCTCGAACACGCTGACATCGTTCCCTATTTGATAACGACTAAAAGCAAGATGGTATTATTGTATTTCTTTACTCAGTTATTTATGCTCTAATCAGTTTATAGTCACAAAGGCAAGCAAATTTAATCCAGAAATTAAAAAACTGAAAGTTGGAGTGTGTTATGTCGCAGATGTTGCAAAACATTTTGAAGGTACCGTGATGCAAAAAATATTATTAGTGAGAAATTTGTGAAAATGATTAGCTAACCCAGCATTTACATTTAGGGAAGTTTTATATTAAATGCCTACCTCATGTATAGTGAATTTCAGAGATTCTGAACTTGCAGATCAGGAGAGCTAAGAATTAATATTAAAATGTAAACTAAATATTTATCATTCCATATACCTCGATCCAATATACCTGTCTGTATGAAACCACTTTTTGTTATTCTCTTTCTGAGCTGTAGCATGTCTTGGTGGGAATTTGCTAATGCTTGTGCTACTGCCAACCATAATGGGAAAACTGATCTTTGGTATACTGTAATGTTGAGTGCATTTCTATTTTAATTAATTACTGAAGATTATGAATAGCTAAATAAAAAGGATTTGTAAAAATAAAAATACTCGTAATTAAGAAAATAAATCATTCTAATTGGTTTTGTTAGTTTAGTTTTATAATTATTTATGCAAGATTTAATTTTACTGTACAGTATTGTGAATTGGTTTGATAATGTTTATAATGGTAAATAAATAATATATATAATGGTAAAAATGTTTTTACAGAGTGTAATTGAAGACTTGGAGGCACCAATTCCTTACATCCGGATACTCGGCCTAATGACAGCATTTGGAGTAATAACATTTTCTTACCGGTAAGAACAGTATTCATTTTGTAATATTTGTCCTCCTCGCCGTCCGGCCCGTTGATGCCGTGAGGGGGCTTGGTGGGCGGCTGCCGGAGTGTGATGCTCCATGAGTTAGTTCTGTCCTTTTGTGACCTGCTCCTGGTGCTGTCCTCACAACTTTTGCTGGACGCCTTTTCCTTTAACCTTATGTTTTCGTTTTTCTTCCCCCCTCTTCTCCTTTCTAATTGTCACTTCCTGCCGACCTTTTGCCTGTTTTTATCATTCTTTCGGCCTTTTGTTTTGACGCCCGGGTGTTTGAGGAGGCATACTCTTGCACCCGTAGAACTGTAGTACCCGACATCTCGAGTGAGGGGACCCTTTTATTGTCAATCCTCCTTTCGTCACTGAACCCAATCTCGACGGACTGACGGTTCTTAAGGTGGCGTTAGTGGGAAGTACTGTATACTCATGACGCACTCCTAGGGGGGCCCCGGCAAGATCAGCAACTTGTCTCTTGTTGGGTGTCCTGCTTCTAATTGTGGCTCCGTGGTGGGTGTGGGGGCACATTCGTGAATGAATATCTTTCTTTTTGTATCTGTCACTTACTATTCCTCTTTTTACCTTCTCAGGCTCAAGGGGTGGGCGACCAAGCCCCCGAGTCGGCCTGTGTTGGAAGACCGGGCTCTGTAGCCCCCGCTGCATTAAGCTCCGACCTTGCTCCTCCTTTGACCCTACTGACTCCTCCCCTCGGCTCCCCTCCCTCCTCTGTGGTTGGGTCGAACCCCAAGCTCCCAGTGGTGACCACCTCGTCCCCTGGCATGGCTCAGTCTCTAGTTGTGACTACTGCGCCTTTTTACCCCTCTCTCTCTGGGGGTTCTCAACACCGTCTTTGCCACGGCCGCACTCGCTCGATTCCTTCCCGTACTGATGCGTATCAAGCCTTGTTTGGTCTCGCTTCGTGGGCCAAATACTTTGATCTCCTCCCTCGGGATTCTATGCCTCTTGATGATTTCTCCCTCCATAGGCACCTTGTTGATTCAGTAGAGGCCTCTGTTACCTTCCACCCCACCCTTCTCGGTACACGTGTCGTTGCTGCTCCTTCTCAGGATGCAGCCTCTCGCTTGACCACCTTATCCTGTCTTGGCGAGACCCCTGTTTGGGTCTCCAAGAACGCTCGGTTGAATGCCAGTGTTTTCACTATTCTCCTCCCACCCCATGTTGCAACCGGTGTTTGGAATCTCCAGGACTGCCACGAAGATGTTTGGCATATCCTCGAAGCCCAGGGCCATTCTGTCCTCCAGGTAGACTCGTTTACTCGTCCCCCTCGTGGTCGTCGCCGTCAACCCCTTCGGATTGTGGAGATTACCTTTGATGGTAGGACCCTTCTGCCCTCTGTCATTCTTGGTGCCAGGTGCTCCGTCCAGGAGTACATTCCCTCTCCTCGGATCTATAATAAGTGCTGGAGGTTTGGGCATGGTGCCCTCTGCTGCTCTGGTACTGTCTCTCTGTCCTCTGTGTGGGGGCGAAGGTCACTCTAAGTCGGAGTGCACTTCTCCCCAGGCTTGCTGCCTCAATTGCGGTGAGGCCCACCCTACCTTCTCCTGTGCGTGTGTACATTACAAGCTTGAGGCAGCCGTCCTCACCTTGAAGCACCGGGAGCATTTGTCTTTACCTGAAGCGATGCGCCAAGTTCGCCGTCTCCCACCTTATGCTAACGTCTCTTATGCTCGCGTGTTACGCTCTTCCTCTCCTCGTCCTTCCCATCTTCCTCAGACTCAAAACCGTTTTCTGGTCTTAGACCCTGACACGCCCACCACCCCCTCCTCTGTTCCTTTAAGTTCTGTCCCGAAAGGTCCCCCTCCTGGTCCTCTGTCTGGGGTTCCCCTTCTTTCTGCCCGGTCTGTCATGTCTCCTTTGTCTTCTTCCTCGTCTCCCTCCGATCCTCCTTCCCAACTTTTTCCTCCATCTATTGGCTCTCCATGCCGCCTGTCAGTGCGGGCTGATGTCCATCACTCTCCCAACGACCGTCATGTATGCTCTCGTTCTGCTTCACCTGTTGAGACGCTAAAATCTGTTGCCCAGTAAATTGTTGCTGGGACGCCTGTCTCTGAGTCGGAAGCGTAAGCCTGGCTCCGCCTTCCTCCTCCCCGGCAGGTAAGAAGGCTTTTTCTTCCTCGCCCCCTACCTCTGACACTCGCTCCGTCCCCCTCCCATTTCGGTGGTTCCGCCCCCTGTTCCTGCTATGGATTTCTTTGGCTCTCGCTTCCCTCTCGGTTGCTGCCCTTGCTGAGGTGCGCTCCCTGGTTTCTGCCCCTCCTGCTGCTGTCCTTGACCCTCGGTTATCCCCGCTCTCTTCCTCCTCCGGACCCTACTTGTCCACCCCTGGTCGGTCCTCCGGCTCCCTTCCCTCCTTCTTTACTCAGTTTACCCATGTCTCCTAACCCTGACTTCGCTGACCCTGACCCTGATCCTTCGCTTCTTTAACGTGCTGTGTTCCCTTTTCACCTTTCTTTCTTCATTGTTCTCTGTTGCTGTCCTTTCTCTTCTTGTCGATGTCTATTCTACAGTGGAACGTTCGTGGTTATTTCACCAATTTCCTTGAACTCCAACTTCTGATTTCGCAGTTTTCGCCCCTTTGTGTCTGTCTCCAGGAGCCGATGTTTGGTGCTCGTCCTGGTCGCGAGCACCAAGCATGTCCTGGTCGTCCTGGTGTGTCCTCGTGGCCATCCACCTACCACCGTATCCGGCGATGGGAAACGGCTCTGGCGAGGTTGCGTATTGGCCATACTCGCTTAACTCATGGTCACTTAATGGAGCGCCGCCCTGCTCCTTATGATCCGAATTTCATTGTTCCTCTTACGATCGTGCATATCCTTGTTGAATGTCCTGACTTCCGGGACGAGCGTCTCTTTTTTTTCCGACCATCCACAGCAGTCGCTTGTTCCTCGATAGAATTCTAGGCGACTCGGATACTTTTGATATCGTTCGCTTTATGCGTTTCTGTTCTCGTATTGGCATCCTTGGTGACATTTAGTGCCCTTTGATTATCCCTCACATTTGATGGTGCTATATAGCCTTCCCGGTTTGGTTCCTTCTTTTGATAATTACTTTGCTGTAATATTTGTTGGCCTTGTCTATATACTGTACTTGATGCAAATGCTTAATTTTGATTTTTTGGGAAATATCTTAATTGTATATGAGAGTTAATGCTTTTGTGTTCCTCTTATGAGTAATGAAGTACTGTTTGGATTAATTATTAGGCAGTTCTGTTTCTTAGATCATCTCTAATATTAGTGCTTGTTTTCTCCGAATTGTATTTTTCTACACCATCTGCTAGGAAGGTAGCCGAGAATCTGAACCGTATTAATACAGTACGGACCATCTCTACATGCTCGTGCCTGGAGGGGTGGGGGATATATCTGGGAAGGTTTAGCATGGGCATGGGAAGGGGGGGGGGGTTACGATGTAGATAATTTGGGGGAGCTGAGAGGATGTGGCATGACCACAGCCAGTCAGCCAGGCTTGACAGTTCAGTTGCAGATGATTAATGGAAGAGTCTGCTATGCAGTGTTATTGAAAACCTCAGACTCCCAATTCCCGAGGAGGGAAATGTTTGTTTCTAATTAATTTAAGCTACATGAAAATATCAATTTATAATTTCAGTTGTTCTGTGGCAGCAACTCCATACCCAAGAACATAGATTCTTAAGCCCACATAAAGATTTTGGTTTAAATTCAGTGAATTAATCAATAATGTCTTCATTTAAGTTATAAATTGTGTTCATTTGTTTTCAAAATTGTTTTTTTTTTTTTACTTTTTAGTGTGGTTTCTCGGTGGTATATACAATGGCGTAAGGATGTCCGAAGACGTGCTGAAGAAAGAATTCTGGAGGATGCGCGAGCTCGGAGAGAAGCCCAGGGAAATGACTTGCCAGAAAGTCTCATGTGTGTTGTTTGCTGTGACCTCAGAGATGTACTGCTCATGCCTTGCCGGCATGTGTGTGTGTGTAGTGAGTGTGCACGCAAATTGAACCCCAGAGCATGTCCCGTGTGTCGGACTGATATTGAAAGCATCCAGCCAGTTTTTTATTCTTGATTTTTTTTTCTTTTTATATAGGATGTATAAATTGTTTATATTGATATTGTTGACAATGCTCAACATTGTTTTGTTATGGTTTGTGTATGGTATTAAAGATATGTCAATATTTTTTTATGATATACAGTATTAAATCTTGCTGCAATTATGTTTCATCTGAAACAACAAGCGAGAATGTATGGCTTATAAAGATAAATAGCCAAGTCTTGATTATCCAAGATAATTGCTGCAGTTTCAGAGTTCTCTTGGTACATGTTAATCTTTGTTGTTCAAAATTGCATATATTAATACCAATATGTTCACCCTTGTGTGTTTAAATGCATGTACATAGGCTATATAATGTGCGTTCAGCATATGAATGCTTTTGTAATGTACAATATGTTTGAGTGAAAGTAAAGATGTGCAACACAAATTTGTATTGAACGATTATTTTCTTGTACACGGCCACTCACTCCATGTGATCACAAGTTACCCTACATGTAGTTTTACACTTGCCTCTCTTACATAAATACAATACACATAAGCTTACCTTATTGCTCAGTACACCTTACTATTAACTAGGTAAGTACACCATGACATAATATTATAGAACATGCTTTGTACAAAGTGCCTTATAAGCTCCAAACCCTAACTGGTGAGCGAGTGGCATTTCTAGCTTAGCAATACTCATTGTGTAATATTAAATTATTTAAGTAATGTCTAAATATTTATAAGAAAACCAAGGGAATCTAAAAGCCTTTTTGAAAAATCATATTATTCTTTCTTATCATAGTGTTTGAGTTGCAATGACAAATCTTTACAGCTAGGATTGAGAATTCCAGCAAATCTTTTTTGTTGTTCGTTCAAACCTGGCTTACATGAGTGGTTAAATACCCTTTGATGATAAAAGCTTGACTGTAAAATATTTTCAGAATGTTATTTGCCTTTGATTAGGATTTTAACTGGTGCCTCTAATCTAGTCATGGAAGTATTGAACCATAAGTTAAATGTTTTGTGATAAGTATTTCGGGCTAAATATTGTTTAGGTAATATTTTGAAACATTTATATTTTGCTTAGTTATGGATTAACACCTGGTAATTTCATAGATCATTTGGAGTAATATTTGTAGTAATATATTCACCCAATACAGTATTTATTATCTCATAAGAAATTAGATGCATGGGTTAGGAAATCAATGGCTATCTGAAAGTATAGTTCATGATTAATCTCCTGTCATAAGAAAGTCAGTAACTTGGTGTGGTCATGTCTCTGATTTGCTGCTTCATTTTTGAAGGTTATATTGGCTTTGGCACTGTAATTGTAACATTCGTTTTTTTTCCCCCATTGTATTTTGGCTCATTTTTAATATAATTATTCCACCACTAGTATGTAAAATTTAAGTACCATGTATAGGTCCAGGTATTGGAAAACAGGTAGCAAGGATAGCATTATACATATATACCTGATAGGTATGAGGCTCATTGTGGATGGGTTCGTTACCAAACAAAGTTTGCAGAGAATGCAATATTTGAATGACTTGTCTTCCAGGAAATAGGCTATTGTAACCAGTATTAACAATACAGTGCTGACGGTTCTGCCCTATGTAAGTAGTTCCATATTAAACATTCCACGATAAGACTAACAGGATCCCTTGACTGCTGTTGATATGGTTGCCGTCATTGGACATATAAATGAATAAATAAGTGAAAAATTGCCTCATTTTGACTGATGTGCTGAAAAGTATATTCTTATTTCTTTCAAAACTTTAAATATGGACAAAGGGGCATTATAAATACTGTACTGTATTAGAATTTTACTCAGTGCTGTTTGATTACTTTTTAATATTCTGTGTACTGTATATATATAAAACCAACACCTGTACATTATCTAATTTTGATGTCAGTACATTCAAAACAGTGCTATAGATCAATCTGGGTTTATTGGTTTCTTTTGGTAATCATTATGTATTTTACTGTAATTAGATAAATTGGTTTGTTTTTATTGATCAAATCTAGTATCTGTTACAGACCTTGTTTTAAATAACTTAATAAATATTAACCGTCCTCAAATTTTTGTCCTTGTATTGTTTAATATCTAAAATTATGTGAGTGATATATGACCTATGGTGTTTGAACGAAGCTTTCACAATGAATATAAATATTTGAAGGGCATCATATCAGTTTTCCTGCCTCTTTATATACTTCTTTACAAAATGGTGTACTGTATCCAGTCTTAAAAAGTTTCTCACAGGAAATGAGTCGCCTTTCAAGAACAACTTGCCAATTTTGTTTATTTGGCTATGTTTATTTATATTTATTTTTAAAATTGGCTCAAGATCTTCACCTCTTTCCCATTGTAATATGTTAAAATACTGCAGATCTATAATCTGCTACCAGGGGTCTACAAGGTCCAACTATGAATACTAACCTTTCCTTTACCATCCTACATAAGTGCTGAATACTTCAAGCTAACAAGCAAAGATGTTAGAGGAAAAGAGAGAGAGAGAACTTGCATTGAGTGGGTGTACTCTCCTAATTAAAAATGGCAAGCCATACAGCATTTACAGAAAGTTCAGACCTTTTCTTTTCAAAATAAAATAATTTATATGTATAAATGGCTGCTTTACAATTTCTTTTTATGTATGTGTAACATTGTATAACCAACAATACACCTCTATTGTTGGTCATACAGAGGTATACAATTATACATGTATGAACTTTACAAATTTCAATATTTGTTTCATCATCAAAATTATTCAGTATACACAGGAAAAATATAAACAATCGTAAACAATGTTTTTTCTGTGATTACTGCAACAAAATCTGTATTCAACATGCCCCTTTTGACAGCAGGATTCCCACTGGACAAAATACGTACAGTACTATGAATCATCGTGGTTCACAATCATTTGTGCTTTCTATGTGTGGTTCGCTCGATCATACTAGATTTGGTTCAAGTGTATTTGTACACCATTTTCTATCCTTTGTGACAGCTCGAGAGGACAGGCTATTATATAACCACACTTCCACATTATACTATACTGTTATACTGTATATGCAATATTAATTCAAGCATACAATACATCATATTTACAGCCAGCATGATGCACCAACGATTAAAATGACAATTCTTAGGAGGAGATACTGAAAAGAAAAGTAACATCATAATGAGACGAATTCAAATAGGTCTTACATAGTTTTATGAGGTTTAAACACAAATAGAATGTTCTCATTCATCACTTTATTTTTCTGATATAACAGTGAGGAAAATGGCTGTAATGTTGTTCAGTACTTCTACAGTAATATGTTAAAATATAGTGTCCACAATGAAAACTATTTTAACATTCAGTCCTTGGCCACTGGCAATGTAACAAACATTGAACTTCTAAAGGAATATTATTAATAAAGATACAAATGAGACTTAACAGTGTAAGAAGCATAATGAAGTAAATAGAATTGTCATTATGTAAGATGCAGCAGAAATAGAGTAATACCAATTTAATTTAAAAATTTCTGTATGTTATAATAATGAATTATAGAATTATGAATTATGTTTCTGTAGGTTATAAAAAATTTACAAGAAATCTTTTTATTCGTAATGGCATGCCTTCTTTTTTTTTAGAAGCCTGTTCAATGAAGATGTGACAACTTTTTTTTATAGTTGATAAGGTAAAGTAATTATCAGGAGAAAGTGCTAAGCAAGTGTGCCTATGTAGCACTGGAAATGGATAGGAAATCAGGATAGAAGGACGGAGTGAAGCCTTATCTATAAAATATGATCTAGCATTCTTTTTATTTGTTAATAACGTGGTTTAGAAACAGGGTTGTTGGTTTATGGAACAAATTACTTTGACACACACTAGATATGGGATTGCAGCATTATTTCAAGCATAGGTGAAATATATTTATACAGTACTGTATATATATATATATGTAGGAATATGATTGGATATAAATAGGTGCTGCCTCCTATGGACCAATAGCCCTTCTGCAGTCTCCTTTGGTCTTTTATGTAGTGTATACCTATGATGCACTTGTGTGATTATGTAGCTTTGACAACAAGGTGACAATTTGATTATAACCCCTGGACAAATGTTTGTTTGATAATGAATCTAGTTTTCAATTGAATGATGATAAATTACTAAAAGTACCTACTTCCTACTATAATTATAGGCCCCTCTGGGCAGCCAAGGCTGCATCCATATGTAGCCAGAAGCCATAACACTGCAGTAGGCATTGTAGTACTTGCCAGGAGAACTGCAAAATGACCAGCGAGGACATTTGCACCGGAACTCCATCTGGAACTCCTCCTTGCAGATCTCGTTCCACCAGCAGGTTCTCTGTTACGAGAGCAAGTGAGGTTTGTAAACAGGGATTTATTGCCTTTACAAAGTTTTCATACACTGTGACAATAATGTAATGAGATGCCTGGAACCCATACTTTCAATGAGATATGATTGCCATCAGCTCAAAATGAGCATCAAATTATGTAATTAACATGACTAAATATCTACAGTACATATCTAATGTTATTTTGACTCCAAGGTCCAAGTTTGATACCAGTTTGATACCAAGTTTGATACAAGTTTGATGCCATGAAATGACATATTGCATAAATACTCTCCATGCTTTAATAAAAATGTCGGTAATATTTGGAGACATATAATATACATGCCTTTGCCAGATGCTGACAGATTTGCTAGATATCAGTTAGATAATTTCGAAACAGCAAAATTTGAATGAAAATCAAATACGAGTCATGATTAGCAGGAATCTTAAGCCTAGAAATCTATGCACAAATGTTCATAATAGGACAATAGGATATGTACTGGGATTTATTTCTAGAAGCATTAGCAATGCTTCTAGAAATTCAATTAATCCCAGATATTAGAAACCTACCATATGAAGAGAGATTTAGACATCTTACTTTATATTCTCTACAAAAGTAAAGAGTAAGAAGCGACATGATTGAAATATGCAATTGGATAAAAGGGGTATAACAAAGGTAATTATTAAGGTGTTAAATATATCAACACACAATAATATTTATATTGGATTAGTTTAGATTCAGAAAAGACCTGGATAAACATTAATTTAGAAACAGGTTGATTGGTTTATGGGATAAATAACTAGATACCATAATATATATGGGCTCGGTGGATTGTTTCGAGCAGAGGTTAGATATACATCGTGGATGAGTTGGGGTGGATGTAAATAGGAGCTGTCTTGCAAGAGTCAATAAGCCTTCTGCAGTTGCATTATTCTTATGCTCTTATGCAGCATTTCAGCGTCTTAACATTTAAGTAATCATTATCCAGGAGGGACTGAAACATTGTCGTTTCTTCATTTTCTGATGTGTGATTTGGTCATGCAATAATATCTTTAGGTTCGTTATTGTGACTCATCGTTTGCCCGAAACGTGTTAGTGGCTTTACAAGAAAGTATACCACTTAATCACTAACATGTGTACCTTCACGACATATTGTACCTTCACGACATATTGTACCTTCACGACCTATTGTACCTTCACGTATACTGTATAAATAAATAAATAAATAATAAATAAAATTAATAAATACAAATAAATAAAAACAAATATATAAATCAATTAATATGAGGACCCAAGCGCGTACAGACATATAGGTTCGGGGGCCGGTGGCTGAACGGACAGCGCTTGGGCTCGTAATTCCAGGGTCCGGGTTTGATCCCGGCCGCCGGTGGAAACAGATGGACAGCTTTTCACCCTGATGCCCCTGTTATCCAGCAGTAAATAGGTACCTGGGAGTTAGACAGTTGTTACGGGTTGCTTCCTGAGTAAGTGAGTGAGTGAGAGAGAGAGAGAGAGAACGAGAGAAAGAGAGAGAGAGAACGAGAGTGAGAGAGAAAGAGAGAGAGAAAACGAGAGAGAGAGAACGAGAAAAAGAGGACAGGAAGCCGCCCGGCTTGTCAAAGGTAACCTCTAGCATTTGCCCTGATGATTTTGTTTTCCAGCTGGATTTTAAAATTTAACAAGAGTTTCGGCATTTACGGCTCCGGCGGGTAGGCGGTTCCATGGGTTTATAACCCTGTGGATGGAAAAGCATCTCCTGTTTTTAGTCCTGCATTGTGGCTTGTTGAACTGCTCCTGGTTTGTGTTCATGTACTCCTTGATTGGTGATAATTGATTGATTGATGAAGATTAAGCCACCCAAAAGGTGGCACGGGCATGAATAGCCTGTAAGTGGTGGCCCTTTTGAGCCATTACCAGTATCAAGAGTTGATACTGGAGATCTGTGGAGGTGCGACTGCACCCTGCGTGACGGGAGATGTCTCCCCGTGATAATTGAATATGCACTGTGGTTTTAAGTAATTTCATGTACAATGATTTTGTTCTCTAATCAACAAAAACAAACATCAGCGTGAAATTCATAATTAACATCAAGTGGAAAACTAATATCTCATATATGTCAGATGCGCCTTGAGAATGGTTGATGGTGGATGAAAGAATTGTAATATTAAAAAAAAATTAAATACCTGGGATTTTTTAAAGATTTCCATGCCCGAAACACCTTAATTATTAAAGGTTATGTATTGCGCTTTTGTTACCTATGAACTCTCCCCTGTTCATGTATCATACGTATGTATTCATGTATATTATTATTATTATTATGGAATTTTAGGTATAGTGAGCCGCATATATGCTGTTTACCACTCACCTGATTAGACTTTCTATCCAAACATGTATAGATTTTTGGTTGAATTATGCCTAAAGTGGCAGCGAAAGCTATGGTTAAATTGTGCACAAAAGGAATTAAAAATGTTCCTATGTATATTTGGTTATTATTATTATTATTATTATTATTATTATTATTATTATTATTATTATTATTATTATTATTATTATTATTATTATTATTATTATTATTATTGACGTACAATCTCGATATCCTGAACTGACTGATTGCTCGAAATCCTCTTCAGTTGGCCCGATATAAGTCCATAGCAACCGCCTTGACAACGGCGATCCTGTTGACGTCACGCCTGCCATTCCTCCGTCCTGATATACCTGTATTTACCTCATGGCCACCATCTCTAGTGGCCTCGGTGGGGACAGGAAGGCGGCGGTTTGTCAAAGACCCATCCTTTATTCTTGAGGATTTTTTTTCCCAGCTGAATTTTTAACGAAGTATTGTCTTGGCATTTACAGCTTCGACGGGTGTGGACGGATATATATTGATGACTCTGACAATGCTAGGAGAAAAAAAACAGTTCTCGTGAATAATGCGGGGCATCTTTGACAAACCGCTGGCGTTCTGTCTCCGTCGAGCCAGTAGACAGATAGTGACCCCTCAGCTAAACAGGTTAAGACAATCTGTATCAATAACAGAAAATGTCTGTCTGTCTGTCTGTCTGTCTGTCTGTCTGTCTGTCTGTCTGTCTGTCTGTCTGTCTGTCTGTCTGTCTGTCTGTCTGTCTGTCTGTCTGTCCGTTCGTCTGTCCGACATTGTAGGGCCAGATGCTTGGGAGTAACCTAACTAAACTCTCATTGCCGGATAACTGGTCTTTGGCAGGGGATGATCATAGGGAGAATCGGGGTCGACCGCAATGCCCTACATTAAACCATTTTCCATCCTAGCTAAATAACGTTTCCATCCTCACTAAGATTCAAGAAGCATTAATATTCTACACGATGACCAAAAGTTTGTCTTACGCAGTGGCGTTATTGATGAAAACACCAGGTAGTAGAGATGGTCACAGTGATAGTGTGACGAGGACTAGGTAGGGAAGATGGTGAAGGGTAGATGATGCGCAGAGGAGATGGTGATGAAGGGATGATGGTGAAGGAGAGGGAAGGTGGTGAAGGAGATGGAAGGTGGTGAAGAGGAGGGAAGTTAACGTAAGGTCATGAGAACTCGCTAAACAGATACGAGTATAAAGCACTTGCAAGGGATGAAAATAAGGATTTGGAATAGAATGGAATAGTGCCCAGTCATAGGGACGGTCGGGATTCGAACAACGATCTGCAAGAAGCGAGACAGTCGCTCTACCGTCCAGTCCAAGTGGTTGGGAACCATTCCTTCCTTCCCCTTTTCCCAAATCCTTGGAATAGGAAGGAACCCAGCTCCACTGGCTGCTCTAGTAGCGTCTAGATCTAGCCTCCTCTGATGGTACTCCTATTCTCACTGGTACCCCCTAGTCCCTTGATATTTGTAGCTCAAGATCTCCCGGTACTCGTAGCCCCACTGATATACGTGGCTCCAGGTGTCCTTACCTCATTAGTGTACCTGCGGATGGTCTGGTCGTTGTACTCAAGGCGTGGAGTGAGACCCGAGGCAGCCAAAATCAACGCCAGTGTCCACACCGTCACCTGCGGAGAGTACCAAACACCATGGAACGACCAAACACCATGAACGACCAAACACCCTAATGAATTGAAAAGCTATCCAACTTTTGCCTTGTGTCGATAGAGAATCAATTCAAAGTAAAGCCGAGCTTTGAATTTAACGATGACCAGAGTTTCTTTCACCCTAATGTACCTATTCACCTAGCAGTAAATAGGCACCTGTGAGTTAGACAGCTGCTACGGGCTGCTTCCTGGGGATGTCTGTGAAAATTAGGATTAAGGACTTATATATATATATATATATATATATGAATAACTTTTTTCAAAGGAAACGTGCCAAACCATTTATCTCCCGCCTGGGAATCGAACCCCTTAAGGGCTGACACTCGACCATATTTAATTTCGTACAATACAGGAAAAACATTTTTGTTTAATACACAAGTTATATCCGATATTTTAATTAAATTTGTTTGAAGAGTAATGTTTCCAACTACTTTGGCTGGTCGGTACAGCGACGGTCTAGCTTCTTGCAGGCCGGCGTTCGATCCCCGGTGGTTCAAAGACAGATCAGGATTTCATTACGTTGAATTCTTTATTTATTGTGTATATAAATTATTTATAAAGCTATTAAATACGCACAGTTTTTCGTGCAAATATTAACGTGTGTACTGAAGTGGGGCGAGACCATCAGTGCAGGAGCCACCGGAAGGGCCACTTACTGTGACCGGAAGGACCACTTACTGTGACCGGAAGGACCACTTACAGTGACCGGAAAGACCACTTACTGTGACCGGAAGGACCACTTACAGTGACCGGAAGGACCACTTACTGTGACCTGAAGGTCCACTTACTGTGACCGGAAGGACCACTTACTGTGACCGGAAGGACCACTTACTGTGACCTGAAGGACCACTTACTGTGACCGGAAGGACCACTTACTGTGACCGGAAGGACCACTTACTGTGACCGGAAGGACCAATTACTGTGACCGGAAGGACCAATTACTGTGACCTGAAGGACCACTTACTGTGACCGGAAAGACCACTTACTGTGACCGGAAGGACCACTTACAGTGACCTGAAGGACCACTTACTGTGACCGGAAGGACCACTTACTGTGATCAACCTGGAGGAGGAGCTGAAGGAGGCCATGGTCACGTTCACTTGAGAATGGTGTGGCGGAGACTGGCTGTGGCGTCCTAGTAAGGCTTCCTAGCGCACTCTACTGATGTGATCTGTCTCACTCACCCACCTAACCTCACACCCTCCCACGTTAGACCCTATACTCCTCCCACGGCCTTAGTGGGAGGGATTGGTTGGTGGGTGGATGGGTGACACTCCCCCTAAACTCGCTCATAGTAGCCAGACCCCTTTGGCACTGCACCTTCCTCTATCCGTTAATGAGCTCTAGCAATCCCTTGAAATATCTCAATTTCACTGCATTCTAGAGGTACTAGTGTCTAAAGATATGTTCTGTGCGTTTTATTTAATTTGTTCTTAATGCAGATTCATAGTTTTGTGATGGTTAACTTATTTTCAGTGTTTATTACCATGGAAACTTCAGGCAAGCGCAAATGCGAATGCTTTAGAGAAAACGTTATATTTATGTGAAAGGAGTAACTTTAAGATCGAGAAGTAGCACCTATCATGAATAATTTCATTGCAATTGATTACATTCTATACTGAACACCTCACCCTATTTAATATAGTAATCTTACTGTGCGCAATATGCCACCTAATTATATTCTACTCTATGTGTACCCTGTAAGACAGATCTATTTGTCATACACATCTATGAGCAAAATGAGTAGCAAAAATAACCAGTTCTACTCAAAGCAATTACTGCACACTTGATACTATTGATTCTAATAAACGCTTTTCGGCACATGAACCCTGTGCTCGAACTGATGGTTCTGTTCAGCCGTCAAAAGGACACGCTCCAGCAGCTTGTATAAGTTCTTGAGAAATATCAAAGATATATAGAGATTACTTCCTACTGAGACGAAACTCAACGATGCCACGCAACAAACGTTGATTTGGAAAAACAGAAGAGCTTCACTCGTACAAACTGAGCACGACTACTTACCTCGGTACTCACTATTGCATCACACTTTTCTTATCGAGACGAAGATCAACGTTGCAGCACAGCTGTTGCAACAAATGCGGACAAATACAATTGGCAGGGCTTCTCCCTTCAAACTGAGAACGATCAGTTGTCTGACTTGACGAAAGGAGTACGTCACAAATAATCCACATAGGTATTCCAGCCGACTTGTTGTTGGATTCAGGAAACGAACAGAAAAACAATTGCCAGAAACGCTCTGCGTGTTAGTGGCTCTGCAAGAATGTAAGAACACCAATGCTATGTACTTTTACAATGTAAAAAAAGATAAAGGGATTGCTAACAGTGTCACAGTTACAGTCTCACATCTATTACTGTAGAAGAACAGTGCTACCTGTCATATGAGAGAACACTTGACATCCATCCTGTCTAGCAAGGCAAACATCTTATGGCTTACTCACAGAAATCACAATAGCGTGATGCATCAAATGAAAGCTGAGTCGATTAAGGCAGCATCTGGGATGCTCTCGGACGTAGGTTCGAATCCTCGTCACGGTCCTTGTGGATTTGTTCATTTTATCTCTTAGGAGTGGACTCTCGGGTGTCTCATGCCTCAAAATGAGACTGCCGCTGCTCCTAAACGTGGGTTTGCTTCAAGTTTAAGCGTAGTGAAATTTGCAACTTAGATAAGAGAGGAAGGATTATAATTTCACAGGCCCAGAGACACTTCAAGATGTTCCACTACCAAAGATTACATTCACTCCAAACATCTACCACCACCTACGGGCTACTCATGCCCGTGCCACCTCTTGTGGTGGCTTAATCTTCATCAATCAGTCAATCGATTATAATTTGATAGAGAGTAATCTTCCCGGTGTAGAGTAGTGCCGTTGTCTTCTCTCTCTTGATATATATCATGAAGTTGATACGTTCTGAGCTGAAGTTTTTGTGATTCATTTTGTAAAATGTTGACATTCAGTAAGGAAGTTCTGGAGGGTTTTTTGTGCAAAGGTTAGGGTGAAATAGCCTAAAAGCATTTATGCCAATTATAGCATTAATTTTAGTAACACGATCAATAAGATACACGAGGATGATTCGGGCTCTTATACACAGCAAACACACACACACACACACAAGTCTCCGAACGCCACAAGCCTTTCACAAGACACTGTCAACTGCCCTTTGGATATTTATTTTTACACTGTGCAAGGATTTCAATGAGACATCACCAAGTTTGCACATATTTACTTGCTCAACAATGATGAATAGAAGAACACTACAAATAGAAGAATACTGATAATGACGTTTCTGTCAATGAAATCACCTCCTTAACTTACACATTTAATTGTAGAATTAAATACATGTATAAAATATTTCTAAATTGAGAATTATGTGAAAATGTCACAATATCCTATTTGTTTAAGATAGCTAGACTATTCGTCATATACTCAAGTCACATATAGAGGATTACAAAAAATAAATTTGCCACTTCAGCAGCACTAACTACAGTACTAGGAACAATGTACCACGCATTTTCCCAGAAATTCAAAGTTATGGAAGTAGAGAACGTCACAATACCGTGGGTGAAACAAGGTTTGATTTAATCATACGAAAGGCGGTTCGACAAAGCTTATTTTCTGAATTGCTAAAACTGTATATTTTATAAGGTGCATTACCTTAGGTTAGACTCAGCTTGGCTTTGCGCCCTGGAGAGGCCACTCCGGCCTCGACAACCAGCAACTCCATTGTCTCCTGAGACTGCAAGAGTCCTACTACTACTACTAGACGCAGTTAGGTTAGGCTAAGTAAGATTAGGTTTGGTTAGGTTAGATTCAGTAGATTTTAATATCCATTGGCGAACCGTCTTAGCCACAATGTGACTTCTATCTCTTACTAAGTCGTCGCTTCCATTTCACATGAGTAGGTTAAGTTATGGGTTACGGGGGCGTGTACATGTATTCACGGATACAGTGATGTCAAGCAGGACACCATGAAACATGGCAAAGAGGAGAGAGTGTGGCTCTGTCCACTTAAACTTATGAGCAGCTCTGAGCTGTACATAATCAACGCTAATATTCGTGTATTTGATGCGAGGTGTGAGTTGGGTAATAAAGCACTTTACACTGTGGTACAGTAGAACAGTCGCTGAGTAGACCTCAGTGTATATACACGGAAAGACAGAGTTCTGTTCGTTTATATTACAGATGAGCCAGACAGTTCACTTAAGTGCTTTTTTTCCCCCTTTCTTTCTTTATTATTCACCCCATACCCATCCCGTGGGGAGTGGTGGAAAGGATTACAGAGGCACATAATGGGTTCAGGAACTGAACCCCATAATTCGTTTAGCTAAGCAAGTGACAATCTTTTGAAGCTAATTAGACAATTGGTATTGTTACATACTCATATACATAAAACATGCTAACTGTATAACTGAGTGTTAAATAAAGGTGGCGTGGCTCGTTCATTCAGCCTGTGATGTTCATGAGTAAAGCACATTGCATGCTTAGTAATTCATTTACGAAATGTGCTCTGATGTGCAGGCAAAACTTGCATGATTAAATCAAACCCAACAGTCTACAAAACACAGACAATGCAGTTGAAAGAATTATACATAAAATATCATATTTAGAAAAGCAAACTCAGGTACACATTCAATGTTTGGATGATAAATATTAGCACAATATTTTATATATTCTGGATTAACAAGTGAAGCAGCTTATTTAAATTGTGTATTCAACATTTTATCTTAAAGATAAACATTTTGAAAAGTAATCAAAAGCTGCATAGTTAAAATAAATACAACATTCAGAGGAGAGAGAACTGAAAACTTAACAATTAATATCACATTACTATGAACTTTCAGTAATACTCTTTACACCATTACCTATTCCGTAGATCAACAACCCTTTTTTCCAAGCCAGTATTTACCCAGTCAGAATTAATATTTGCACACTAATCCAGTAGTAACCCAACTAACCAGCATTTACCCAGGTTCAAACCAGTGATGAAGATTAAAGATCGAAAAATCTAACGACAAAAATGTTCCTGACAAAATCTATACAAACTCTAACATGTTTGGGAAGACATTAATTCAGTTTGCCAAGTCCTCCTATGAACACCTAATGCTAAGGGCAGGGGAAGCATTTGTAATATAGTCTATTAGTCTATTTCTTTCTTGCATCAAGAAATGTATTATCTTAGAAAGAAAAACTAGGCACAGTGCATATTAAAACTCACGGAAGCTTTGCACACTAAAAATATAAATAGAAATTTTGTGAGAATTAAAAATCTCAAGAAGACAATTCACATATAAATCTTATTTTATCTGGTAGCTTACTTCTTCATGGCATGCAATGGCCTAGCACAAATTGTCTAAGGAAAAATTTGTTGCAATATTCAGAGGAACCAGAATATTAGATTCTGCCACCAGACCTACTGTTAGATTCTGCCACCAGACCTACTGTTAGATTCTGCCACCAGACCTACTGTTAGATTCTGCCACCAGACCTACTGTTAGATTCTGCCACCAGACCTACTGTTAGATTCTGCCACCAGACCTACTGTTAGATTCTGCCACCAGACCTATTGTTAGATTCTGCCACCAGACCTACTGTTAGATTCTGCCCCCAGACCTACTGTTAGATTCTGCCCCCAGACCTACTGTTAGATTCTGCCACCAGACCTACTGTTAGATTCTGCCCTCAGACCTACTGTTAGATTCTGCCCCCAGACCTACTGTTAGATTCTGCCACCAGACCTACTGTTAGATTCTGCCACCAGGCCTACTGTTAGATTCTGCCACCAGACCTACTGTTAGATTCTGCCACCAGACCTACTGTTAGATTCTGCCACCAGACCTACTGTTTGATTCTGCCACCAGAACCATAGTTGAATTCTACGAGCCTATAACACTTGCGTTCACATCTAGTCGTCCTCTTCGTCGAAGAGCTGCTGGTACCTCAGTGAGGTCTCGCGAGGCTGGACGCTAGTGGTGATGTGTTGGGTGTAGTCCTTGGGCCTCGGAGCAGCCATCAAGATGGCCTGCAAACACATACGAGCAATGCCACATTTTAGATCAAATTACTAAATTTCGTTTCTTAAATTTGTAAATACTTTTTGGTCAAAAATTCGGTAAACTGCTAATGTATTTTTTGTTGGTTACGTGAAACCTATCTTGTAATAATGTGTCTGTATATGATCATGTACCTGTAAATGAACAAGTACCCTATAAGATAGTGGCAATGTACTCTAGACGATAGCGGAACTGTACCCTTGAATATATCGGCACTGTATTTTCCAAGATAGCGTTACTGTACCCATGGAGCTGTGGGGGTCCCACCTGTGTTTCCGTGGTGTTGTGGTCGAAGGTGCTGAGCAGCAAGAGGACAGGGCAGTAACAGAGGTTGATGATGGCCACCCCGCGCATCAGCCACGGGAAGCCAATCTTCTGGACCACTACTCCTCCCACCAGAGGCCCTGAGGTAAGTCACACAATGCTTCGTCAGTCATCCTTGGCACTATATTTACCTGAGGGGCCAATAACACTAGTGGCCTCGACGAGGACAGGAAGCCGGTGGCTTGTCGAAGGTCCTCCCCCCCTCCCCGATTAATCAGAACTTAATAATTAATAATTCCTTCCCCCCCCCCTTCCCACCCCATCCAAGGTCGCCTCCCAGGATGCAACCATTCTTCAGTACTTAAAATAATGGGTTGAAAACAGATGAAGTAAAATAGGCGGGGGTTACCGCGAAGTAGAGTAAAAATAGGTAACCTATGAAGCAAACACAGGACATAAGATATGCGAGAGGAAATAGGGCAAGGGTTACCTAGGAAGTAGGCCAGCGCGACGGCAGCCTGGGCTATGGCATAGACTGCTCCATAGGCTGCGACATGCCTGGCGTCCACTATAGCGGCAAGCAGGGGCATGAGGGCGGCGTCTACCGTGCCCACGCCCATACCCAGGCACAGATGCGGTCCAGCTAGGGCCAACATGGACCTCGCCTCCGGAACCTGCAACGCCATATTGTCCTCAGAACGCCTTGTTGTACATTAAGTTACGCGTACATAATGTCCTCTGGATACAGGTCATTTCGTACATGCGATATAGTTTTTTTTAAGATATTTATTTTATATTAAAACTTTGTCAATTTAACTTAACCTAATCTAACTCATCCTCACTTAGCATTTCCTAAGCCAGCTCCAGGGGACTGTATCCAACACATTCACATTTCTTGGTTCTCTAAGGTTAACATGAACTTAGTTTGGGCCAGATTGTATAATTTAAAGATATGTTGGATATTTTGGGGTAACTCGTTGTACGCTCCTCATATCGTTAGAGTAAGCATTCTTCTTTCACCTGAAGATATTGGTAGAGCTACGGTAGAGCTTCGTGCAAGGTCTTCATTTACTTGGTCTATCTACCAAGTAAATCTACTTATAAAGTCCCTCTACTTGGACCATTAGAGGTTGCTCTGATGGTCAGAGTAGATGGCACCATTCCATCACCTCGTCTTCAAATCCCAGCTCCTTGTCCTCATATCCCAGCTCCTTGTCCTCATATCCCAGTTCTTTGTCCTCATATCCCAGCTCCTTGTCCTCATATCCCAGCTCCTTGTTCTCATATCCCAGCTCCTTGTCCTCATATCCCAGCTCCTTGTCTTCATATCCCAGCTCCTTGTCTTCATATCCCATTTTAGTTCTAAGACTAGCTATTATTGTAGCCGTAGGGCTAGCCATTCTAGGAGCTGTGAGACTAGCCATGCTTGTAGATTAGCCTAGCCCTTCTTGTTGCTGTAGAACTAACCATTCCTGTAGCCCAAAGACTAGCCCTTCTTGTTGCTATAGAACTAACCATTCCTGTAGCCCAAAGACTAGCCCTTCTTGTTGCTATAGAACTAACCATTCCTGTAGCCCAAAGACTAGCCCTTCTTGTTGCTATAGAACTAACCATTCCTGTAGCCCAAAGACTAGCCCTTCTTGTTGCTATAGAAATAACCATTCCTGTAGCCCAAAGACTAGCCCTTCTTGTTGCTGTAGAACTAACCATTCCTGTAGCCCAAAGACTAGCCCTTCTTGTTGCTGTAGAACTAACCATTCCTGTAGCCCAAAGACTAGCCCTTCTTGTTGCTGTAGAACTAACCATTCCTGTAGCCCAAAGACTAGCCCTTCTTGTTGCTGTAGAACTAACCATTCCTGTAGCCCAAAGACTAGCCCTTCTTGTTGCTGTAGAACTAACCATTCCTGTAGCCCAAAGACTAGCCCTTCTTGTTGCTGTAGAACTAACCATTCCTGTAGCCCAAAGACTAGCCCTTCTTGTTGCTGTAGAACTAACCATTCCTGTAGCCCAAAGACTAGCCCTTCTTGTTGCTATAGAACTAGCCATTCCTGTAGCCCAAAGACTAGCCCTTCTTGTTTCTATAGAACTAACCATTCCTGTAGCCCAAAGACTAGCCCTTCTTGTTGCTGTAGAACTAACCATTCCTGTAGCCCAAAGACTAGCCCTTCTTGTTGCTGTAGAACTAACCATTCCTGTAGCCCAAAGACTAGCCCTTCTTGTTGCTGTAGAACTAACCATTCCTGTAGCCCAAAGACTAGCCCTTCTTGTTGCTGTAGAACTAACCATTCCTGTAGCCCAAAGACTAGCCCTTCTTGTTGCTGTAGAACTAACCATTCCTGTAGCCCAAAGACTAGCCCTTCTTGTTGCTGTAGAACTAACCATTCCTGTAGCCCAAAGACTAGCCAACTCCTGTATCTCTAGTACTACTAGATTATATGTAGTGAGTGAGAGACTACTCACTGTAGCAGTGGCGAGGCCAACCAGGAGCATGGCTATCACTGCCGCCCTCCACCGCCCCAGACGGAAAGCAGGACCTGCCGTACAACTGGTACCCACCAGGTACCCCACGCTGTCCGGAATGAACGCCGTGCCCAGCTGCCACTTCTACAGGAGAAATGTTGGTGTGTTACTTGATGTAACTCACATTATCGCCACGAATATGAAATGTGGAATACAAATAAATAAAAACTGAATATGAATGTTAATACCTAAATATTTAATACATATTAAGTGCGTATGGTAAGCATATGTACGTCAGGTACTGTTGTTTAGATCAGCCCGATGCGCAGAACTGTGCGCATCGGGGTAACTTATGATTCATAAATGAGGACCCTTCAGTTATGAGTATGCAGCCCGTTCTCATAAACACAGTCTAGCCTCATAAACACAGCCCGTCCTAATAAACACAGTCTAGCCTCATAAACACAGTCTAGCCTCATAAACACAGTCTAGCCTCATAAACACAGCCTAGCCTCATAAACACAGCCTAGCCTCATAAACACAGCCTAGCCTCATAAACACTGGCAAAGTGTTCGCTAATGCAGCCGCCAAACCCTATGTTTACGAATGTAAAACTCTTCACACATACACCCTAAGAACGAGTTGGAATTCTCCTCACCCACCAGTATGAATCAGTCCCCGTTACGAGTTAGTGTGACACTCACCTGAGGGTGCAGGGTGTCCGTGAGCCAGATGGGAAGGCAGGGCTCCAGCACAGCCATAGCGGTTGTGCTCACCATGATGGCCCCAGCGGTCACCAGGATGTAGGGGTCCTTCACCAAGCCCAGCAGAGGCGTCGAGATCACCACACTCTGTGGTCACACGGTCACGTCACCAGCACGTCACACCATCAACACGTCACACCAGCACGTCACACCATAAACACGTAACACCATCAACACGTCACACCACCACCAGGTAACGTCAACATAAGAAAGCAATGAGTCAAGAGCAGCACGAAAAGCATTGTAAACTTTAGATTAGTTTACAATAAGAATCACTGTTAACTGCTAACTAATCTTCAACTTACTGTAGCTTAAACATTGAGATGAGTAGACTCATAGATGTCACTACTGCTTGGCTTAGCCTTGCCAAATGAATCATCATTATAACTCCTTTTAACTCATCATTTTAACTCAATGAATCATTGTAATTAATTGAATAATTTTTATTACTCATTGAATCAACATTATAACTCATTGAATCATTATTATTACTCATCGAATCCTCCTTATAACAAACTGAATCATCATATAACTCACTGAATCCTCATTATAACTTACTGAATCATCATTATAACTCACTGGATAATCATAATAACTCATTTAGTCATCATTATCTCTCACAAAATCCTAAACTTCGCTGTTTCTGCATCACTATCACCACTATCGTACAGATGAGTGGGAATATCTGGCTTACCTCAGATGTGGGTCGGGGATCGAGCACTGCCAGCTGTACTACTGCAAAGAGGCAAGATAATTATCAGAAGGTGATAAACCAGAATGACTATAGAACACATTTAATGGTTATGAGGATAAGTAGCTGGGATACGAGGACAAGAAGCTGGGATATGAGGACAAGGAGCTGGGATATGAGGACATGTAAATAGGATATGAGGACATGAAGCTGAGATATGAGGACATGGAGTTGGGATATAAGGACATGGAACTAGGATATGATAACATGAAGCTGGGATATACGTACATGGAACTAGGATATGAGGACATGGAACTGAGATATAAGGACATGGAACTGGGATATGAGGACATGGAACTGGAATATGAGGACAAGGAACTAGGATATGAGGATAAAGAACTAGGATATGAGGACAAGGAACTAGGATATGAGGATAAAGAACTAGGATATGAGGATAAAGAACTAGGATATGAGGACAAGGAACTAGGATATGAGGACACAGGAGCATGTGTGTGGACAACTGTTGCAAACATCCGTACTTTCCATCGTACCCAACTGTTGTGACAGTAAGCCAGGAGTGACCGTATGCACGCACACCAACTACGTACCGGCTAAGACAGCGGTGAAAGCAGCCACCACCAGGAAAGGCGGCGTCTTCGAGCTGGTGAAGTCGTAGAGGAGGCTGCCTAGCGGGTACCCCAGCAGGACGCCCAGAGCAATACCGCCCATCACCAGCCCCTGCACACGCCCACGCTCTCCGTCCTCCGTGTAACACTCGGCGATGATGCCCATGCCTGTGCCCAACACGGTGCCCGAGTTTAGATACATTTGACAAATAAATAAAATCTACACATAAATAAAGAGCAGTGAAAATAGTTGTGTTGTCATACTAATAAAGCATACACACACACAGCACGTGCATACATGCCCCTAGTAACGCAAGTCAGGGCGGAAGGCGTACAGACGTACCGGCGATGGCTATGCAGGAGGAGGCGATGCCCTGCAGGCTCCGGGCTACGAACATCAGGGCGTAGCTCTGGGCGTAGGCAAAGACTGCAGGCAGAACATTGGTTATAGTCTCTCAAACTCTCTCATCACAGTTACACACAAACGTGTAAGCAAGAATTCCGAGTCAACAATATTATGTAAGTTAAAGCTTTAATAAGGACTTTTCCTTATTGAAATGGCCCGTCTTATAAGATTCTAATAAGGACTTTTTTAGTGTTATATCCAGTGTTATATTATATTATATATTTAGAATGTTTTTAGTGTATATTTTACATTATATCCAGTATAATATATGTCCTTTTTTATATACATTTAAAGGTGTACGAGGAAATCTTTTGTTGGATGATACAGATATATGGCCAAGACTCAAATATAAGTGACAGTCCCAGATCATTACTGAAGCCTATTTAGCATTTCTGATACTACTATGATTACTCGAAAACGGGTACTCACGGAGGGCCGACAGGATGAGGTTATGAGTGCCGACGATGAGTGGGAGTGAGTAGCCAACGTGAGCCGTGAGGGGCCCTACCAGCGGGTTCACCAACAGCTGCACCAGAGCCTTCGACGAGAAGAGCAGCCCCACCCGCCCGTTCTCGTTGATGATGTCCTGTGGCAGCCTGGCCACTGTGCTTGACGAAGCTGAGGCGTTGCCTTCGGCGTATCCGGAGGTCGCTGGCTCCTCCTGCTGTAAGGAATCCTTGCTGGTTCCCTGAGATCTGAGTGGCTGAGGAGCTTCTCCGTGTTGGGATTCGATACTTTCAAGTGAGTGTTGGTCTTTAGGATGGGCGGATTGTGAAGATATTGAGCCCATTTGAGAGAGTTGAGGAAAGAAGGGAAATGACCTTAATGGTATCAACTTATCGTCCTGTGCTTGCTTCTTGGCTGCGCTTCCACCTTTTTTAGCCTGGTGTGCGCTTTCGTTGCTTCTTATATTGTGTTCTTCCTTCTCTTTTCCATCGGTTCTCTCCGCTTTTGTGTCTTTTAGAAAATTAAAGTTTGCTTCAGAATTGCCAACGTGTTTATAATGTTGAGCCTCTGGATGTATCACATCTTTATCACGAAAACTTTTATAGGGGATACCATCAGTTTCCTTCCTGGAAAATGAAGTTTGGTAACGTGGGGCTCCGGGATCCTCACTCTGGAGCTGTACGAGGTTATCATTCAAAAACGTTTTCCTGTTTACGCGTTCCTGGGGACGTTGCAAGCCCAGTTTAGCAAATATGTCTCGACGTTCCGACATTCCAAGGGGTTTATATTTCGTTGACAAATCTACACTCGGAGCTGACATTAATTCATCTTTTGGTATTTTGTGTGAGAATTCGGGAGGTGTGATGATGTCTGTCGCGGAGGTTTTTAGCGTGGAGATGGAAGGATGCTTCTGAAAGCGAGGATTTCGAGCTGAGAGAGGCGACAGGCGTTGATACGAGGTCGATGGGATCTCTTCGTCAGTTGTAGGTATCGGTTGAACACCGTCGCTGTAAACATCTCTAAGTCCTTGTTGGTGCTCCAGCTGGTACAGGTAGTCCGGGATGATTGGTACTGTGGGTAGGGACGTGCAGCGCCGCTGCTGTTATTGCTTGCTCAGTTAATAGCATTTATTGTAATTATTAGATGACAATCTTTATCAAATCGTGGCATTATTTGTCGCGTAGAGGACACATACATACGTGAGGCATTTGTCACGTCAAGTCCAGGTAGACAGTATCCACGAGTTTACAAGATCCTCTTGAGAGCTTAACTTGAACAACACGGAACTTACGATTTGTTAGGTTGAAACATACAGCTATGACCTTAGATCTGTGAGGAGCCTTAATTACTTACTTTTGTGTGGAGTCTTACTCACGTCCATGAAGATCCTAAGCAGTCTTACCTACAACTGTGAGGAATCGTAAACCACAATTTTGAGAAACCTGAGGAGTCTTACCCATGACTGCGAGAAACCTAAAGAGCCTTACCGACGACTATGATGAGCCTAGAGAGCCTTACCGACGACTGTGAGAAACCTAAAAAGCCTTACCGACGACTGTGATGAACCTAAAGAGCCTTGCCGACGACTGTGATGAGCCTAAAGAGCCTTACCGACGACTGTGATGAACCTAAAGAGCCTTACCGACGACTGTGATGAACCTAAAGAGCCTTACCGACGACTGTGAGGACCCTAAAGAGCCTTACCGACGACTGTGAGGAGCATGTTATCGAGAACGAGAGCAGCGTAGACCAGAAGGATGACCGCCACACGGCTTCGTCGTAAACGCTTCACCTCCTCCCGAAGCTCCGTCACGACCACGCCTCGCGTCAACATGCTCTTCAGGTGACGGAGGCAGAAGGGCAGAGGAGGGGGAAAGACAAATGGGGTCAGTGTGGGTGAATGAGGTGAGTGTGGGGTAGAACGCGTGGGTTCGTGCGCCCAGGGAAGGTCCAAAGGAGGCCATGCAACGCATACATCTTGCGAAATTACATTTTAATTGTTTAAACTGATCTAAATCAGTAATTATTAAAAGAGGAGGCCAAGCCTGGAAGACCTCCTGGCACAGAATATCAACGAATCAGTCACTATAACACCCGGAATGACTCTTGCAGCACTGGAGTGAATGATCATTGTAACCCTATGAAGGACTCGTTCTACCTATTGTCCACCTTACCGTAAGCCGGGTGGCGCAGTCTTATGACCGCAAGTGTCCTGACTTCCATGGACGCTAACACCTGACCCGTCCGTCCCTTCACACCTTTCCCAGTGGAGACACTGCCTCACCTCAAGTTCAAAGCCAAGTAAGTTTATCGAGGTAAGTGAAACCTGGTTGTGGCACCAGTTGGGGCCTCCAGATTCTCCCAGACAATTCAGAAGAGCTCCGGGTTGAATAGTTTTTGTCCTATCGTGATCGAGTGGGTTAAGGGTCTGAGAGTCACTAGAACTGGTTCAAATCCCCCGCACTGATCCAGATGATTTTCTCATTCATATTCTACATAGTCGTAATGGCTTGGTGTTTTCTTCTCATATTTCCCTTCCTTTCTCATTCATATACCCCGCCATTGTGATTTATTTGTTATTGAGATAATAACATTCATCCAAGAGGGATGACATAGTTTAGATCACAGGTCCCTCAATAGACCCGCACATCTATATACAGTATACAAATCACAATCATATTTGACATCACTTCAGGTCCTTGGAAACACATGCACATGTTGACCGCCTCAGTAACACCTGATCAATTCACACAGAAATCACAATAGCGTGATGCATCAAATGAACAAATCCACAAGGGCCGTGACATCTGGGATCATCCCGGACGTAGGTTCGAACCCTCATCACGGCTCTTGTGGATTTGTTCACCTGATCAATTAGTTTTGAAATCCGAAGAGGATGATTGACACTGATTTAACTAGACGTGGAAACAAAGGAATAAGTATACAATTAACTGACTAGTTAGCAAATCAGTGGACAAAACGTGGTTACCGGGGTTCGATTCCCGGGGCCGGCAGAAACAAATGGGCAGAATTTCTTTCACCCTGGTGCCTCTGTTACCTAGCAGTAAATAGGTACCTGTGAGTTAGACAGCTGTTACGGGCTACTTCCTGGTTGTGTGTGTGTGGGTGTGGAAAAAATATAGTTAGTTAGTAGTTGGTAACAGTAGATTGACAGTTGTGAGGCGGGCACCCCCACAAGCACAACTAGGTGAATACACACACACACACACACACACACACACACACACACACACACACACACACACACACACACACGTGGATATATGCTAATTGGGTTTGAGTGAATGTGTACTGTTTGTATGCATTCTTGTGTTTGTTTGCATATACGCGGGTGTGTTTGTGTTGGTCAGTTTGTTTGTATTAATGTGTGCTTGCGTTAGTATGTATCTTTGCGTCAGTATGTTGAAGCAAAGAAACACACGCAAACACCTCAGCCTGTGTTTGTGTTTGATCAACATCCCCCCTTCCCCCCCCGCCTTCCTCTAAACAGGAAGAACATATCTTCAAATCCCACACACTCAAAAAACTATCACTCATGAAACTGCAAATATTCAAAATAACACCGCTATTAACGTGTTAATAACACCAACATAATCATATATACTTACTGATGATTATTTTATGATGAAAATCAATTTGTTGCTATCATTTTCTTTCATATGGAACTTTATGTTCTAAGAGTGAAGCACTTGACTAACTATATGTAAACAAACACTTATGTCTGTTTATTCGACAGAGGTAAACATCAGTCAGAACACACAGCCACTTGTGTGTGAGTGTCTTCCACTACTTCAAACACCAGTCAGAACACACAGCCACTTGTGTGTGTGTCTCCCACTGCTTTAAACACCAGTCAGAACACACAATCACTTGTGTGTGAGTGTCTTCCACTGATTCAAACACCAGTCAGAACACACAACAACTCTTTCGAGTGTCTCACTGCGGTGAAGTGCAGCAGGCACTTGCTGTTGCTGCTGCCACACACACACACACCAGTCCGTGTAACAGGTGGCAAGAGTGTGGTGTGCGAGGCGGTATATAGTAGAGACGAGGGAGGTCCAGACCTGCGCTGTAGGTCCCTGATCTAGCTATACCACTGCCACCCCCGGCGCTGCCACCACCCCCGGCGCTGCCACCACCCCCTCACACCACTTCTTCATTAACCATCACTATCTCCTTTGCCCCACTACCACCTCCACCTCTACACATTCACCACCACTCCTATATGCACCAACAACAACCTCTCCTTCATCACCACCACACTGTAGCAGGTGCTAATATTCCCTCTCCACCATCTGCTTCCAATGCTCCTGTTCCCCCTTCCCCTCCCCTCTCCCCTCATCCCACTTACACAGGTGTTCCTTGCCACCTCCGTCCCCCCCTCCACCTTCCTCCTCCCCACCTGCCAGCACTCCTGGGAGTATAGTTACCTCTATACTGAACCTGGCAACTGAATTGCCTATAACCTCTACCCTTACCTAACCTAATCTGTTGTAACAAACTAGGCTGTTGTAAGAATTATCCAGAGTGGTTTATCGACAAAAGAGAATGGGAAGCTGAGCCGCATGGTGACCTGACCCCCAGGGGGATTCGCGGTGGAAATAACCGACGCGTTGTTCATAGCTGCGTATAATGAATCATCCTATAGTATTCAGTAAATTAGAGAAAATTAGCCTTTATTCATTTTGCATTAAAATGGTATTGTATAATAGTACTGGATACAATATCAAGAGTATTCTAATTATTGAGTTTAAGTCACCATCAGTGACGTCACGAATCGGATCTAACTTTTAAGGCGGAGTGACCGGCGGTCATAGGTCAGCAGGGTTGACATGTCTAATATTTCTCAAAGTTTTAATAACCATTTTTGTGATCGGGAACAGCTCTGCCGTTAGATGTTTGTAATTTAATTCAGTAAAATAATTCAACCAGTCTGGATCAATTAAGTACAACAGAGGTTAATTGTTATAACTTAAACCTTGCTAGTAACTGGGTAGGACTTTGACGGACTAGGCGGAAGGATACAATACTCTGTCTGGGGTAGTCCAGACAAGGAAAAAATCAGTGTGAATACGGGAGCAGCTGGGAGAGGTCAAACATCTTACCTCTCCCCAAGACATCTAGCTGGTCGCCCAAGGTATAGTTGCTATGGTTATGTATAGAAATAGTCTTCTCATTTGCCATTCAGGTCAAGTAGGGAGTGTTAAAGTGATAGGGAGTGAACACATTTAGATTTTGTTTTAGTTTTCTTTTAATAAATTAAATTTGTTATTAATTTGCATTTTATTGTTTCCATTTGGTTATGTGTAAACTTGTCCTGGTCACGTGGTCCACACGAGGCAGAGTTGTATTGGGCGCCGATTCTAACATCGAATCGGAATCATCATTACCGTGTAATTTATTCCACACTCAAGGTCATCGTTTATAGTGGGGATCAAGCCCCTAGGTTGATTAATTAGCGTGATCGATCCAGACCTCGATCATTGCTCTTGTATTACTGGTCTGGTGGTGGCAGCAGAGGTGACTCTAGGGTTTTGTTCAGAGCTTAGGTCACGTCATACTGGGTGTAGAATCCTAAGTCGGTCAATCGTCTTAGGACCACGTGGCGTGGAGTTGGCTTTGTTAAAAGTTTTGGAGTCCCTTGGTTTAGAAATAAAAGTAAGAATACGGGTAGAGGGAGTAGAAAGAAGGAAGAAAAGAGAGAGGAACCCAAACCCGTGTTACAATGGTGCACAGCGGTGGTTTCAACAATTTTGTTTGAAATTGTTGAAAGGCTCACGCGTCTAGCCGTTCGAACACGTGCGCGGATGCTAAGGAGACAGCCGCGGGTCAGGATTAGCAGTGCGCCCCACAAGTGCGTTTGAGTGGGGATTGGCGAATCTTGGGTCATGCGGGCTGATATGATTAAGGTTTAGTTAGTAAGATTAGGTTGTTAAAATTAGATTTATTGAAAACGAGACCGCTCCGAGTTGATTGGACTGGGTACCATACTCGACCCATTGCAATTAATTCAGAGGTGTTGGGAGCCACCATACTCTCAACAGCAGTTCCTTGAGGGCTGTCGGGGGCGGATATATCTGTGGGACGCCAGTAGATAGTCCGAGGGCGTTATTAGACGACCCAAAACGCTAAGGAAAAACGTAATCCGTGAAGGGCGTTGCGGCCTCCGAGGGACGGACTAGTAAACTACCTAGCAGCGATTCAACAACTAAGTGATCGCACACTTAGTGGAGGTTGAGTCGTCCCTAGTCATAATTGTTGCTGAAAGCTGCGTGTCGCTCTGTTGGAACCTAGATGGTGTGGCCTCTAGGCTAGGTGTGGTACGGCGAGCCGGTAAGGACAATTATAGGATTAAGTCGAGTGCATTTTTTAATTAAGTATACTTCAATTTATAAAGTAATTTTCCAATTATTTTCGTTGTTCTAGAGATTAATTTTTTCCCCTAAATTCAATCCCCGGTTAAAATTTTTCCCAAGTGTTTAGCATTTTCTTGCATATTAGGCTAAGTGCGTACGTTAAGTTTTGTTATTCCCTGTTCTATTAGTCTAAGTCAGAGGCGTTGTTGCTAGAGTGTAGTTAATCCTCTGGACTTAGGGCTATATGTCGGTCACGATAGATAAGTGAAGGAGTTTAAGGGATAGTAAGTTGCGTGTAAATGCTTAATAGAGTCCGTGGTATATTTCTAAGTATTTTGGGATAAGTTTTCGGCTAAGTCGATGTCGGAAACTCGTTAACTAATTAATTTGTATTCGTGGGTCACGTGTATGATCTGGGCGTCATTAGGATTCTCCAGTCGATGCGCGTGATATTTTCTAGTTTTTACCAGTAAGACGGTAGAATTGTGTTTGTAGACTTAGAATTCTGTTTTCAGTAGAAACGTAGGTGGAAAATTTTCTAAGTCCAGCTTGGGCTAGAATCTGACTTTTTGGCGGAAATTCGAATTTTCATGTTTTGTGTATATTCTGGGGCCAGTATTACTCTCTAGTGCGCGCAAGGGACGTAATTCTGTTCGTAAAACATTAAACAGTGATAATTACATTTTTGCCGAATTTAGTTATTTTTCGAGAAAATCGTGTCGTAATTTTGTCAGAGTCCATTTGAGGTGAAAATCTCGGATTTTGACGAAAAATCGAATTAGTGAGTGTTGAAACCGCCCGAAGTGTCAGTATTGTTCTGTATACAACGTCAGTATTAAATAATAACGTATTTATATCTGGGAACGAGAAACCCAAATTTTTGTGAATTAAAGGAGTTTTGTGATATTTGGGGTGATAGAAATTTTTTTCCCTCGGAGTCAGAAAAATTGGCAGAGTCCAGCAATTGAGTAAAAACGCAGTTTTTGATAAAAATTCAATTTTTAGTAAGCATTTATAGGTCCTGGGTGTCTATATTAATCGCTAGAGCGGTTTATTAACGTAAAACTAGTTATTTTCCTTCAGAACAAAGATTTTGATTTTTCAGCGTTTAAGCGAAAAAGCGCGGGACTTAGTTTTTTTTTCAGCGCAGCTGGTCCCGCTCCATCAGTCATCAGTGGCCACGCTGCTCACTTCAAGTGCGTTTAGTATTCAAGTACAGTAAATATTCTTTATTAATCCACCACGAGTGCTACGCGTTAGTTGCGTTATCATTTAAATTGTTTTATATAAATTAGATTCTTTAATTTTTTTTAACGTAAAGGACTTAGGTTTCAGCAATAGAACTGCGGGATATTTCACGGTCAGACACGAGTGCGGGGCAGACACTCATTCATTGGATTCACTTCAGCGATTCTCTCGATAAATCGTTGTATTTCCTATTTTGGGGATTTAGTAGTTGTTTCTTGGAAAAGAGTTGTGATTTTTTTTTTTGTATAAGATCACGGTTGTAGTGAGTCCGGGTCGAGGGTGTACTAAAGGGTAGTTTAGAAGACGTGGCACACCAGGAATCACAGAAAATGTTTAACCCAGATAATGACCAGTCAGTGGGGACCAGTGGGAGTGGAAGTGGAAGTGTAGAGGACAGCACCTCTTCCGACACCACTGGGGACCACCTAGGTACACCTCATCCGTCACTACAACAACCCCAACCCCATCCTCAATTCCCATACCAACCCCATCCTCAATTCCCATACCAACCCCATCCTCAGTTCCCATACCAACCCTTCCCCCAACCCCAGGCCACTCCATACCCATTCCAACCCCAGGCCACCCCATACCCATACCAACCCCAGGCCACCCCATACCCATACCAACCCCAGGCCACCCCATACCCATACCCATTCCAACCCCAGGCCATCCCATACCCATACCCATACCCATTCCAGCCCCAGGCCACCCCATACCCACCCCAACCTCAATCCACACCCCAACCTGAGGTCACCCACACCATACCTCAGCCTCAACCCCAACCCGAGGCCACCCACACCATACCTCAACCCCAACCTCCATCCACACCCCAACCCCAGGCCACCCACACCATGCCTCAACCCCAACCCCAGGCCGCCACAGCCTTAGACAGGCAGATGCGCACGGAGACGCCGGGCACTCAGTTGTCGCCATACGTAGAGGCGTTAAGTAAAGGCGAGGGAGCCAAGCCGAGGAACTGTGGCGCGGGTTCATCAGGCGGGAAGCAGCCCTCAGCTGCAAGTTCGAGCCACCCTGCGCGGGGTACCAACAGAGATCCGCGGAGGTGTTACTCCTGCTGGAAGCGCGGGCATATACAGAGGGACTGTGAAGTCACTCCTACGAAAGCATGAAAGCAGGCTCCTAGTGATGGTAGGCCTACTTTTGAGGTGAAAGTGGAAGGTGTGAGATTGACAGCTTTTGTTGATACAGGAAGCCAGGCAACGGTAATTAAAAAGTCAGCCTTCAGCAATTTTAAGTATGCACGTCTTCAACGTTGCGCAAAGACATTAACAGCAGTCAATGGGGAAAAGATTGAGATCGTAGGTCAAGGTACAGTTAATTTTGAGATTGATGGGGAATTGCAGCCTCACACATGTACGATCGTAGAGAACCTTGATTTTCCTGGTCACATCTTAATGGGAACTGATTTTCTGTCGCGATTTAATTATTCCTTGTCTGC